TGATTTTTAAAATCCACAAAACGAAGTGCGGACATCCCCCGATGATGACTGAATTATCCGCCCGTAATGGCGCATAAAGAGGGACGATACGGAAAGGGATGTTGCACCCTTCTTCCTTATTCTGAAGAAGAATGTGCGCGGTACACCGTAACATAATCGATAACAGCTCTGACCGAATGCGCGTTACATGCGGCGAGAATGCGAGAGGTGAAGAAAAAATATTTTACGGTATCCCTCTCTGGAGAAAGATATATGTATATACAAGATGCGATAAATTTTTCGATAATTTTAATTAAAATTTTAAAACGTTAAATAACGAAAGTATCTAAATTTTTTTAGAATATTTTTATTAATATTATTAATATATTATTTATTAATAAATAATATATATCAAATATGTAATAATATATATTATATATTAATAAATAAAATATATTAGTATACTCATTCTATATTGCTACATATAAATATAATAATATATATTAATATATCAATTCAATTCTACAAAGTAGACCGGGATGAAAAAAAATATGCGAGAACGTCTTACAAAATATTTTCTCTTATAATTAAAATTAAGTTTCTGTCAAAATAATGATATATCTATTCCGAGAAGAGCCTTTCCAAAGAGAAGGGAAGAAGAGACGTAACGTTAATTGGTATGTGCATATTTCATGCGAGTGTCCGATATATAGGAGAATAAGCTGTCAGATCTCTCATCGAGTAAACTGAACTGACCTGGGGTCCGTTAATAAAGTTACGTCCCCTCTCTCACGGGACTCATCGTAAGATAGGCGGACGAAGGACAGTTCGATAACACTCGGGAAAATAGTAACGAACGTAAAAAAATCCTCTGCCATCGAACCTAAAGGGACGATGTCAATTTACGATTCCATTTAAGTCCATTTCTCGACGAATGTCATCGAAATTCGATGAGGCCCACTGTTCAGTCAGACTGAAGAAGGCGACAGGAGGATATGCTGCAGTTATTTCTATAAACCATCACGAATACAGATATACACACATTTTCTACTCAAGATATGTATAATTAAAATAAAACGTATCTTCGTGTATATGTATAATTTATCATTTCAGAATTACTTTAAAAAAAAAAATATGGCTAAAAGAAATCAGCAAGAAAGCACTTTCTGCACTTTCTCTGAATGCCAGTGCGCTAAATAATGCGAGCCGTTGATTATTTATCATTCGTCCAGTCATGATTAGCGCTAATTGATGCTAAGCGGCGAAAATATGGGGCACTGGATTTTCAGGTTGCTTTAGTGGAAAAAAAATTCTCGGGTTTGAAAGTAAGGTCGTTGTCTGTAATTGCTGTCTGCTTAGTCTACGAAGGTATATATAGCCATAATTGAAACTTACAAATAACGACTGGGAAAATTTCACGCGCATTGTTATCTTACATTCCTGATACGTTAGACACTGATACTTGAGTGACCGAGTACGTGTAACGTGCGTAAGAAAAAAAGCGTGAGTACGCAATAAGGCGAAACCGGACCGCGAAACTTGCGTTCCGGTTATAGGAATTATGAATCAGCATTGTAAGGCCTAACCGACGTATAATAACGAATGCATTTCGCCGCAAATTACAATCGACTCTTTCGCGGTATCGGAGAATAGCCCGCATTTTATTGCCTTTAATGTTGCAGCGTATTGACCCAGATATGCATCCGATATGCACGCATATTACTTCTTACAAAATCTTACACACGTATATGTATATGGATTGCACACTATTATTATAATATAAACATTTCAAATGCGTTTTAGCCGTCTTGAAATTTTTAGTATAATTATAGTAGTAGATCATTAGAAAAAATTAATCTCATTGTTCACAATTATTTTAATTATTAAATGTGACACATAATATATAAAATCTGATAAAAAAGCTTTGAAATTTTCATATCGTATTTCATATTAAAAAATATTTTGCAAATGCATAAATAATGTTAATGTTAATTAATATTACTGTCAATTTTTCATGGCAATTTTTTTGTTAAATGCAAAAATCGCAGATGCAATAGCGACGCTTCGAATAATATATTGCAAGTATAAATACGATAATAATTGCATTCTTAACAGAAATAAGTGGAGCGTATAAGAAGCAAACGGCTGTCGATACTTGGCAAGTTTTATTTAACTGTTCAAGAGCGACGCTGACGCGACAATGTCGAAACTTAACGCACTCTTAATTGTCGGACTTAATTCTCGTCGCTCACGGATTATTATCGGCTGTTAGGCACGTATATTTATTGCAGCAACAGGAAACACTGGGTGCGCCCCAGAGTGAGATAACGCGGTTCCTGCGGCACGCCGCGTTTTACATTCAGGCCGAACCCCCGGTGATAAAAGGAGAAGCAGGACGTCGATCTATCGGGCGGGAAAATTATAACGCGCGCGGAAAGTCTCCTTTGTGCAACGCGGCACGAAAGAGTTGCACACTCTCCGGTGCACACGACGTTTATGCGGCGCGACAGAAATAAGCCCCTCCACGGATGCATAACTTCGGTGCTATAATTTTGTTTTAGTGCGTGCGGTTCTTTCTCATTTCTTTTTCATTATACACCTCCTTATTTCAAGAATATATTATGTCACGTTAATTCTTTTTTACGATTACGCGGAAAGAGAAGGAAAAGAAATGTTAAAAAAAAAAGACAAAAATGCTAAAATTATTTATTCGTGACATTTTTGTGGCAATTAAATTTTTTAAATCTATGTTCTGTGTAAATGGACTTTAAATAGATAAAATATCTAACTGAGTCATTTAATGAAGATGTTATATTATAGAGACATTAAGAATATATTATCTGATGGATTGTATAATGTAATGATTATACATATTATTTGTCTCGCACGGTCTTGTAATTGAAGAAAAGAACATGTGGTATAACCATAATAAATATATGCTATAAACTAAGTTTATATAACTTTGCTATATAAAGATCTCACGAGTTTACATTTCTCTAGTCTCTGTTTTATCGCGCTCATTTGATATGTTTGTTGTTCACCCGATACAAATATATCTTGTCTCTCTATATATGATAATGAAATGTGTCAAGGTTTATAGATTTTCTATTCTTTTGCTGTAATTTTTTATTTAAAGTTTATAATTTTTTATTTAAAGTTTATAATTTCTCCTATTTTTATCTTGTGTTTTCTATTTTTTTAACTATGTTATATAAAGTATGATAATTAAACTTTTTACGAAAACTTTTGTATTTTTTCGACTTGACGTTTGAATTTTACGAATCTGACATACGAATTTAACTGAAATATAAATATAATATAATAATATAAATATAGAATATAAAATAGCGCAATCGAAAGAAGACTTTCAATTGTATGTAGTAATTATTTCAAGTGAAATGAATTAACTCGAGTATTCGTTTCGGCCAACACTAGTTTTAATTTGTCTCAATTATTATGATGTAATTATATTTACCTATATATACCTACAGCGTTGGACGTTTTTCAGCAGAGTATAAAAAATCCATTTTAATTTATTTTTAATGTTCCTATAATATAACATGCTATTTTTCCTTTTACTTTACAACTTATTAATAAAAGTTATAATGCAATTTATTTATCGAATTCTGTACATAGCATGGATGTGTTTGTCATATTTCGGTTTGTAATATATGCTGCAACAATTAGAATCAAATAAGACCATTATTTTGATTGATGAAAATGCCTGTTTTATCAATTAAAATAATTATCTTATTTAAATTTAATTATTGCAGTGTGTATTGCGGAAACAATTAAAATACGATAAATATTCCTGTACGTCGTCTACTTCAGGTTAAATATAAAAGGTATTGTAAATGATAATGAAAATGCGAATGTCGTTAATGCGTTTTTAAATTGTTGTTGATACTTGGCGGGATGTTTAATAAATCTAGCAACGATACGTTTGCTGTAAAATTCTGCAATCAGCTGCAATTACCGATGAGTAATGCACACCAGGTGTCGAGAACCTAGCAGGTGCACGCGTATTAGATAATACTTAAAAGTTTCTGTGGTCAATGCACTGGTCGCGAACGGTACATTATACATGGATCCACTCGTTAAAAAATTTAAAGGAAATTAATAGCGTTCCATACAATGTATATTCATTGGCATAAGATGTAATATCTTTCGGTAATTCTCTATTGCAGGCTTTCTGTAAGGAATAAATTAAAAAAAAAATCTTTCTTCACAAAATACATCTGATGGAAAAATTAATACTATTTTAGTCGAATATTATTATATAAATGTTTTTAATTGACAATTCATATCAAAAATTAAAAAACATCTTACAATTTAATTTAAAAAAAATTTTTAAATTATATGCGAAATGAATAATTCCTTTGAAAATTGGAATAAATTTTGTCAATGATTTATCTTTGATTTTTAAATGTTTGATCATTAAAAATAGCGTGAATTTATGATAAGACAGATTGGATATAACGTTATTAAATGTTAAGAATCAATATTGAAAACGGACAATTTTAGCACACATTATAAATGGTGGTAATGGCAATTATGTTAATTTACCAATACAATACACATGAAAAAACATTCGTGAATACGTGTTTGTGAACGCGGCAAACTTCATCGCGTATTGGTGCACGCGTATCCATCGTAACATAAAAAGCGGGAAGCAATATTACAAAAGAAGCGCACAGAAATAATAAACAAAATTCCATCAAGAATAACAGATTTCGAGAATCAATCGCGTACTTATATATACGCATTCCTCTTTTTTATATTTCCCGCGAATATTTCTTACGACCATAAAATTCCTGGTAAAATCGACTTCAAAAATGTCAGGGGGAAAAAAAAGAAAAACTGGAAGTGAATAGGATCGAATGAACTCGAGAATATATACGCATTCTCTTTTTTCCCGCGAATATTTCTTGCGACCATAAAATTCCTGGTAAAATCGACTTCGAAAATATCGGGAGGGAAAAAAAGAGCGGAAATGAATAAATAGGATCGAATGAACCCACCGGCGATGACGGTGTCCTGCAGATTGTACTTGGCCGCGCCGGCTTTCCCGACCTTTGGGAAGTCCTTGAGCTTACGACCGCTCAGTTTAAGCTCGCCGCTCAGGTGCGCCTCCTCCAGGATCCGCTCGAGGCTCCTGGTGAGCTGCTTTTGTATGTGGCCGCTCATGTTTGACGCAACCATCGCCATATTACATTTTTCGGACACGGGCACACACGGCTGCGACTGCACGCGCTCCGGCTTCGGCTTCGGCGGCGACGACCGGAGAAGAGAGGATGCGTCTCCCCTGGCAGCGTCGTAGCACTCGCGGCGACGCGCTCCGATCTTCTACTCCGAAACGCGACAGAGGGTACACGGCAGAAGACGCGCGCCGCAACCTCCCTCCCTGTGTGTTCATACGCGACTGACGGGGCCGCGCTGCGCGTCGCACTGTGCGCCAAGACGCGGACTACCTCAACCTCAACGCCACCTAACGCCCGAGAAGCCGGGCGAGGTGTCGTCGTCGCCATGACAACCATCTCTTATTTATGTTTATTAATTTCGCGCGCTAGTTTTTTTTATCATATTTTTTAATTGCAAAATGACATCAGCATTGGCGGGAAAAAGATTTGAGAAAGAATAGATTGTACATATTTAACGTAAATAAAATTAATATTAGAGACAAATGTTATATAATATTTTAAATGAAAATCGGGGAAGATAATAAAAGATGAAAATATTTCGCGCGCTAGTTTTTTTCATCATATTTTTTTAAGTTTTAAAATGTCCACCATTGGCGGGAAAAAAGATGATATTTGAAAGAGAATAGATTTATAAATATATAATATTTAACATGAATAGAAACGCAAAAATAAAGAGAAATTAATGTTAGAGATAAATGTACAATATTTTTAATAAAAATCGGGGAAGATAAAAGATGAAAATATTGCGTTGTATATGTTTCTCTCGGTAGATAGAAATTACTTTCTACGTATTTATTTTCTATTTTCTATATCACACATTTCTGACGTAGATTAATCCGCTCAATACATTCGTACTGTCACTGTACACATTTGTCATACGATTCGCATTCAGGCTCTATTATTATATAATTTATCATTAGTATTTTTTTTAAGAATGTAACAATTTACATAAATTAAACAGTTGTATAAAACGTAAATATTGCCATGATATAATTGTAATATTCATGATAATATCGCGCATTTTTTCACTAAAAAAACAATTATTTACCTTTATGCTCTATGGTTAATTTTTCGATTTCTGAGCTATTGTAATTCCCTGCGATTCTTGATATTGTCTAATAAGTTGTTCTTGTATTTCTGGTACACAAGGACTATATCTTGCATATTCCATAGTAAATTCTCCTTTACCCTGTGTAGTGGATCTTAGCTCACCAACGTAGCCAAACATTTCATTAAGTGGTACTTCTGCAATGACTGTGAACCATCCTTCATCCACTTCCGTTGAATTTATAATTCCTCTTCTTTTATTAATTTGTCCTAATACTGTACCCTATAAAATGCATTACATCAGTAAAACTTTGATTAGGTAATACAAACTCACGAAAAATTGAATAAATTATATAAATTATATAAATTATATAATCTGAAATAATTAGGCAATATTATTGTACCTGAAATTCCTCAGGGCCTGTTATTTCGACCAACATAATCGGTTCCAAAACTCGCCAGCTACCACTGTCAAAAACATTTCTGACAGCACCTTGAGCAGCTTGAAAGAAGGCGAATTCAGAAGAATCGACGCAATGGTTCGCACCATCTTTTATCCTGAATTTAACGCCAACAATTTTGTGACCAGTTAGTATACCTTTTTCACACATAGCTTTGAAACCTTTTTCTACGCCCGGAATATATTGTTTTGGAACATTGGTCCCTATAGTTTCGTCCGAAAATTCAATACTCGTGTTTTTATGGGATGGCAAAGGCTAAGAATTGAAAACAGAAATTTGTCTTTATAAATAAAATATTGGAAAATTATACGTACATATATATATATAAACCGATATCAATAAATATGATAAAGATAAAGACATTAAAGATGCACATATGTCATACCTCCATTATTCCAATCACACGAGCATATTGACCAGCACCACCAGATTGTTTCTTATGAAGATAATCAAATTCGCATGGTTCACATAAAGTTTCACGGAAAGAAACCTTTGGTCTTCCAAGAATGATCGGGCAATTATATTCACGTTCTAATCTTTGTGCATAAATTTCCAAATGCAATTCACCCATACCAGAAATTATACTTTCCTAAAAAAAAAATATATATGTTTCAATATATTTGCTAAATATATTTGCAAAAATAATAATTTGACAAAAATTTTACCTTATTATCGATATCATAGGCGAAGCGCAAAGTTGGATCTTCCCTTGTAAATCGGTTAATACCTTTAGCAAAATTGTCTCGATCTTTCGAATTCTTTGTTTGTATGGACATAGATACCACAGGATCAGGAACATAAATTGATTCCATTGACAATTCTAATTTAGAATCTTTGACAAAAGTATCACCAGATGCACAATCTATGCCAAATATAGCAAAAATATCTCCTGCATAAACTTCATTCACATCCTCCATTTGATTTGAATGAAGTCGAACTAATCTTTGAATTCTCACCTAAAATATAAAAATAATAGAATAGTTATCATGACATTTTTTAAATTATAAAATAATATATATATATATTTGTGTGTATATGTATGTGTGTAAATATATAATTACCTTCTTTTTGTTCTTGTATTATATACAGTATCTGTTTTTTTTAACATTCCTTGATAGCAACGGAAATACGTTAATTGACCGAATCTACCAGCCTCCAATTTAAACGCCAATCCAACAAAAGGATTTTTATCATCACGATTAGAATTCAGTTTAATTTTAGTATATTCTCCACTAAAATAAAATAAAATTTATGTTCAAGTATATACGCACATAGATATTAATTATTATTAACATATAAAAAGCTTACTCAGATTGCTCTTGAAGAGCATAATTTTCTACTTCTCCTGGATTTGGTAAATAGTTAACTACTGCATCTAATAATGGTTGAACACCTTTATTCTTTAATGCAGTGCCAACTAGTACAGGTGTGAATTTTCTTTTCAAACAACTCCTACGTATAGCACTCATAATATCTTTCTCAGTTAACTTTGTATCATTTAGATATAATTCACCGAGTGTATCATCCACATTACTCAAGTGCTCAATTAATTCTTGCCTCTTTTCTTTCACCTCTAATAAATATAACATGAATATAGTAACTGTGTAAAGCAAAAAGAGAAACAAATATACCAATATGATTTCAAGATCTAAATTCTATGTACCTGCATTCATATCCTTTGGAATTTCATCCTCTCTAATAACTTCCCCAAAATCTCCTTCAAAGTAAATTGCTTTTTCAGAAATTATATCAACTATTCCTTTTGTATTACTTTCCAGGCCAATTGGTAATTGTATAAACGCAGCATTATGATGTAATTTAGTTCTCATTTGCTGTAAGATTTTCTTTGGATTTGCACCCATTCGATCTAGCTTATTGATAAATGCTAAACAGGGTACATTGTATCTTTTCATCTGTCGATTTACAGTCAAGGTCTGGGATTGGACACCACCCACAGCACAGAGAACAAGTATAGCACCATCCAAAACACGTAGAGCTCTTTCAACTTCCACTGTAAAGTCCACATGTCCAGGTGTATCGATAATATTGATGTTATGATCATTCCATAATGTATATGTTGCAGCAGATTGAATAGTGATTCCTCTCTGTCTTTCCAATTCCATGCTGTCCATAGTAGCGCCCACATTATCTTTTCCTTTTACCTAACAGGGAAACAAGTATATATAATAAAATATACAATATATAATAAGTATAAATATATAATAAATATAAATATATACAATAAAATTGATTTCTTATTTTATAGAAACGTTTTAATATAAATGTAATAGCATATATCAATTATAACAATCTGTGTACCTATAAAAATACCATATTAGTAATTAAATTCTACAACTTACTTCATGCATTTCGGATATTCTACCGGTATAATATAAAATACGTTCGGTCAGGGTAGTTTTTCCAGAATCAATGTGAGCTGATATACCAATATTCCTGAGTTTTTCCAGTGATTTATGTTCAGCAAACTGAGCATGTGACGCCCAAAACCGCACATTTTGCTAAAAAAAAAAAAGAGCAATTTCATAAGTCGTAGTAAAGTTTTTTTATTAATATACGAAACCAGCTAGAAAAAATTTAAATATAATAAATATATAATTTAAATATATAAGCTATATGAATAGGTTAAAAAACTATAGTTATAGGTTAAGAATCTTACTCCATAAATGCACGGATGCAGCTTTGACAATTGAGTTAAATTAATACTACGACTTAAAAGAGTCACGATCGTCATAATTATCAATTTTATTTAATGCCGACTAATTTTTTAAAGCTATAACTTTTTTGTCAGAATTTTTCGTACGATGTTGCATGAAGCACCCACGATGTTAGACACACATACACACTGTCACAATCAAAGTGTCACTGATGTAACACACTAAAAACATGTACTTGATTGAATACAAAAAGAACTTAAACGATTATAAACTATACACATAATTAATGTGTGCAATAAATTGCATAAAATTAAAATTTAACGATACAGTTAAAAACTACAAGAGTTCATAGAAGTATTATAAATTTAAAAAACTTTGATTACAAAAATTAAATAAAGAGAACATTTAATAGGTACAATAAAAATGTAATTTTTATTGAATAGAATGAACACACAATTATTTTATATAGTTACATAGACTTAGAAATACAGAGAAAGATATCTACCTAAAAAATGAATATCAAAGAAGTGTAGAACATTTATAATTTTACAAATATACAAAAAGAGTTAATATACATAAACGTTATACAAAATGTTTAAATTCTTATAAATCTTTTTTGAAGTATTCTCGTAAAATTTTCTCAAATTTATTTTATATAACATCCATCTCTTATGCAGTCTAGTGTTTGTTTTATTATAAATAAAATCACAAAAATATTTTCGACAAAAGACATACTTTATTATAAATTGCATAATCATTATTATTTATCTTAATTTTGTTAATAATAACATGTGGAATAAAGTACCGCGCAAAAAAATATATATAACATAAGAATTTAGGACATCTTCAACATAATATGACATAACATAACAAGTATATTAAACATATTTGAATAATCCCTCTTTTATACTATAGATATTTACACTGAACTTTTACAGGATCAGGAAAAATAATTTTCATATAACTCGGTATAATTATACTTTGTGCTCAAATATATATATCTTTTCATTCTATTTCTACTTTATAATTATAATCACCTATATTAATATTAATGGCTTTGTATTAATTGTAGATTCATATATCTGATAAATATCGTTGCATATTAATGAACAAATTTGTTGTACAATTTATTTGAAACTTAAATAATACTTTATATGTGCGCGTGAACGCATAAAAAATATCGAAAATTCTCATATGGAATATATAAAATCAATAATAAAAAAATTAAGTTTGCATTACTTTCATTCATAATTTTATACACCTTTGAGCTAATAATATCAAATGGAGAATATTATATAAATATTAACATTAAGAGATTGTTCTTTTACATTACATAGAGATTATGTCTTTTAAATGTTATGGAGAAAGTAAAAGACAATTACACATTGAGATGTTAACAATATTTTCTGACGTGATGTAAATGTGTCAATATTGATTGTCTATGTTTATTAATTATACATTGAATTAATTAAATCTACAAATATTGAATTAAAAAAAACATTAATTATAAAGAGGATGATTTACAAATATATATATAAAAGCGGAGTCATAATCAATAAACTCATTTCTTATAGTTCAGCGCCATATAGTTTGCAAGTCAATTTGATTTTCTATTTTCCATCTGTAATGTGCACTTCTTGCCATAGTCAACTATCTATTTCAGCAAAAGCATTCATTAATGCACAAAATATGCTATCAATGTAACATGACAAATCAATTGAATAGCACGAATTTCTAAATATATTTTTCTTTTCCAAATTTCTTTTTACTTTATTGTGGTATTTTTCATAGTGTCTATATTATATAATAATGTATTTGCATTGAGTATAAAATCTTACTTTTATAGACATAAGTTCTCTCTCACTCACTCACTTTCTCTCTTTCTCTGTACATAAATTGAAGCTAGAGGTCCTACAACATTTCTGTGACTAAGTTATAAACATAAAGATTTTACAAATACAGTAATATCATATCTGATTAAAAGCACGTAACATTTTTGGTACCAAGTTTCGTTGGTGAATGTTTCCCATCATTATCACCGAGATCCATACCAAATGGCACTGAATTCCAAATGGCTTTGTCATTTCGATCATCTTCTTCATTCAAGATATTGCACATCATACGATCGTCGTAGAGAGAAAATCTGGCTGTTGATTGTGCACGACCACGAATTTTTCTAACAGATGGTGGCAAATCACCAGGTGTTTTTATTCTCATATGTGGGTCTTTTAGTGCATTGTTTACGTTTGAACCCACATTAAAGACTTCGTTAAATTTATCAATGCTCTGTTGTCTGCTTAGATTGTTTTCTCTCTTTTTGTTTCTTAAATTTACAAGTGGTAAAGTAGAAGGACGTGCGTTAGATGTCGCATTATCAGTCTCATATTGTTTTTGCTTCCCCATTTGCGTCGTATTTTTGTCGTTCTTCTCTACTGGCATCGTCGAGGTAGAAGTTTTACCAACAATACCATTAACATACTTTCCTCCAGGCGAGATTGTTACGTTTGTTTCGACAGTTTTAATTTGTATATTTTGTTTTGATAATAAATTCGACTTAGAATCCTCCCTGTCTATTTGGTATCTGCTATACGGATACATCTTTTTGTTAATGAGCAACTTTTTCAAATTGGGCCAGGCAAATAGTTTTTTTCGCGGACTTTCTTGAAGCGACGAGTCTTGTATGTTCGTTTGTTTTCGCTTATTACACGAAGTTGATCCTTCGTCGGAAATAACATTTTGGACATATGGTATAGGCGTCGCTGGTCTGAGTTGCGTTAATTGGGTAGTGTGTTGACTTAAGTAATCGTGTGAAACCAGACCTTGTGCTTCTGTGGCGATCTTATATTGATCATAACACGCATGCTTCAGTGACTTATCCACGAGAACGTTACCATTACAGCCCAAGTCGTCTAACGAATCCGATTGTAACATTAAATTTCTCTCCATACATGGATTTCTGCCTTGATACGGCTGAAGCGTATGAGTATGATTATATGTTGCTACTTCATTTGAATTTTTAACTGAAATACAGATTAAGAATTATTAAAATAATATTATAAAGAGTATGTAACGTTTATATTAATTACTTACAATATCATATTAATTACTTACAATCTCGTATTAATTACTTACAACTGTGTTCATGAGCAACATTATCAGATGGTGATAATGTAACTAAATTTTCAGCTATTGCGCTGTCATTAGTATTACCATCTTGGACCATGTTTAATGCAAGTTGAACAACATGTACATTGTCATGATGCGAAGACTCGCTATAAAGACTGTTTGTTGTTGAAGGCACTAAGGTGCAATGAGAATTCACCATTGGACTTCCATCAGTAAAGTGCATTGTTACTATAAGATGAATTTTTGTTTAGAAATTGTAAACAGTTATATAATTTTCATTAAATATTAATAAAAGTCTTACCACGATGAGACTGCAATTCCGAAAGTCGTTCTTCTATACACAAAGCAGTTAAACGAGCTTCCGCATCAGCATCCCAGCAATCTTCCATAGTTTCCTTAATCAAACGCACCCCTGGTCTATCCACTATATTATTTTCTAAAAGTGGTCTGGCTTTATTACGTGATACTAAATTTTGCATTTGTTCAAATGTTGGATGAAGACCTAAAAGATATACAATATAAAAAATATATTTGTTATAATTAAAATATAACAGTATAGATATTTTAATAGATATTTAATATATACAAACCTATTTCATTTTCATATGGCTGTTTATATTGCGGTACTTCTGATCCAGGAATATAAATGTCAGAACATCTTGTAACTAATTCCCAAAGAACTAATCCTATTGCATAAACATCTATCTGTTTTAAAGAACTTTCACAATCTCGTAAATTAACAGCACCTTCTAATACTTCTGGTGCCATATATCTCAAAGTGCCCACCTAGCATAATAGATTTTAATACAGATTTAATTATATTATAATAATATAATTTTCAATATCTGTTATGAATACTTAAATACTTACATCATTAATTGATTTTAATTCAGCATGCTGTTCTTCTCCATTAGAATAATACTTAGATCCAGAGATTCGAACTGCCAAACCCAAATCACAAATACAGCAAGTACCATCAGCTTTGATTAATATATTTCTCGAATTTATATCTCTATGTGCAATACATGGTTTTAACTTTTCTAAAAAGAATAATATTTATGTAAATTTATATTCTTTACTATAGAAAAATTTTATAATTAGATAATTTTATAATGAAATAATTTTTAATAAATTATAAATTATTAATATGTATTTAAAAAGTAATTTTATATACTCACCACAGTCACCAGTCACTTTGCGTATATCTGTATGCAAATAAGCAAGTCCTTTAACTATTGAAAGACTCATTTTACAGAATGTAGTCCAATCAATAGTGTGTATTCGTAAAAAATCTGTTAAACTACCACCTGGAGCAAAACTGAATACCAAAAGATATTCAACATTACCATCCATACTTATTCTTTCATCCGTACCTGTAATTAAAATATTAATCAAATTTATTTCATATTTAGCTTAAAGACTCAGAAAGAAACTTAAAGGATTTTAAAATTAAAAATAAAACAGTTTTACATACACATATTATTATTATTTATATTATTATTTGTGTTGTTATTATTATTATAATTTAATTAATGTTAATTCCAATAAAATATAATATAATACAAACCATAATAGCTTAATAATGATGGATGCTTCATAAAAGGTAAACAATAAGTATCTTTCTCATTCTGAAAATAGTTGCGATAGTGTGAGGGATATATTTTAACTGCAACATCTTGATCTCCCATGCTACCTTGCCAAACTGATCCATATCGTCCTTGACCTAATACAATTATAATTATAATTCATAGAGAAAATTAAATTTATTTTATAATTTAAAAATATTAAATAAAAGAGATTCATTAATTTTACAAAATAGCAATTAATAACGAACATACCTACAATAGTTGTGAGTTTCAAATGATCAACCGTATAAGTACCAGTTCTTAATGCTGTACTATCCATGAATTGATCATTATAAGGTAATGGATTGCCTAACCTTGCTAAATTATTATGATACATTCTGTACATGATCATCCCTATGATACATAACACTAGTAATGCACATAGTACGATGCCTACTATAATAAGCATCCATCGTTCAGAATTTGACTGTTCAAGATATTCTGTAGCTGGAAATTATTATAATTATTAAAATAATGTTTCTTAGTTTATATAAACTATTTTATAAGTATAATATAATTTATTTTGACATTAATGTTGTTAAACTTACTTGGCTGATTTTTTTGTGAGGAAAGAGGATTAAATATTTTGTTATCTGAGTAAGCAAGATTAGAACTTGTAATATTAAGATTACAATAATCTCCATGACAACAACAAAATTTTGTATTGTTCAAAGCTTTTGTAGATCTCTCAAGTGCAACACATTCTGCATTTTCACATTTTTGCTCACCAGATTGTTTCCAACAACCTAATAAAAATATATTAAACAACATATGTTAAATACAACCACTTAAATCAAATAGTATTTATGAATCAATATGTTCATGCATAATAAATATTATTATATACCTTGCGATAAAATTATAATTTCAGTACCATTTGCAGTCTTATCCTCTTGCCATAAGGCATGACAGAAATTATTACATGTGTCAAATTTGACATTTTTATTTCCCTAAAAGTGCAATTTATTTTTTATTTTATATATTTTATTCAAATATTTACATGCAAGATATTGTCCATGTGTCATTAAACTTATATATCAAATACATTTTATTATTCTAAGATAATTGTAATTATTCAATATAAATATTTTTTATTAATTTATTGTGACCTACATTATGGTCATTGGATGCATCTTCAGGTACACCTGTCGAGCTCTGTCTCAAAGAAAGATTATCAACATTTTTCTTTTTACTGGCACACTTCCAATCGGCATTGACAGGGGCTAAACTTATGACACACAGCAGTGTGATCAGTGCGATTGATACAATGGCTCTCATTGTGCTTTAGCAGGCCTCTTGAACCAGAACCACTTCAGTAGAAGTACAGCTCTTTAAGAATTGGCATCTTTCATCGCAGTAATACACAACACTGCCATTGAGATTCTGAGCTCATCTGCTTAATATATATAATATAAAAAAATAGACAAATAATTAAGAAAATTAAATAAAATATTTCTTCCTTTCATTTTTTTTGCTCTTTACAATAAAAAAGTTATATAAAATTTTACTGATTTTTATAATTTTTGAAAGTATGGAAATCTATAAAAAAAATTTTTGGAGTTTGCATTTGATAAAGTCATTATAGGTGAAATATATTTTTATATTTTAAATAATATTAATCTAATCACACGTTTAATAATTTATATTCATCACATTATGCATAATCTTGTTTCTCAACAATTGTTAAGTATATATATATATAACATATATATATATATATATATATATATATATATATATTCATTAAATAATTTTTTTGTAACTTTTTTGTCGTTCCTTCAATTTAATTCTCACAATTGTAGATTTTCAACATTTCAGCTTGATTCGTAATGTAAATTTATATAAGCCGGAATATAATATAAATAATGCAAAATTTTATCCGTGATATGACTGATTAGTCAGAATTCCTTATGTGACAGGAGTAGATATAACGTCGACTGGTCGGGAGTCGGTCGTGGAAAATCAACGTAAAATCGGCGCATTTAATAAGGAATCGAAGGACGCGTTTTGTACGTCGCGGAAAATCGAGACTCGGACGAAAAAGAAAATACACGGATGAACGCGTAATGCATTACAAAGTAACGTAACGCAACGCAATATATCATACTTACATTACGATCCTCACGAAAGTACGAAACGGCGTGTTAGCGGGATTGTCGTGAACAACATCGCACGAGGTCCCCTCAAAACGTGTTCAAGCGCATCCGAGACAAATAATGGATTGCTCGAATATTCCGTACAGTATTTGACAGACAATCCGTATCCCCTATTGAGAGTCGCGTCCTAATCGCGCGTCCGCAAACGCATCCTCTCGCAGGTTTCCGAAGTGTCAAATCGTCGCGTGCGACACAAATGTCAGGGGCGTCAGCTGATTGGCACGACGCTGCTGTCAACCGTGACCAATCAGCGCTCGCGTATTTCGCTGCCTCGAACAGTCGTGCGCTCGACTTCGCGCGGGCAGCTCGACGAATCGGATTGAGCGTCGTATCGTGCGTGTTTTTCGATGTGTATCGTGACGTGCAAATGGCGGTTGTCGTGTTTTGTGTCGATGTTTCCTCGGAATTAACTACGCCATACCGTTAATACAGCGTTCTGCCAGCGAGCGAGTGCACGAAAAAGTGGTTCGGTGCCGCGGTCGCGGATCATCTCGTTCATCATGGTGAAGCTGGTGAAGAAATTCTTCGCCGGTGATAAGGTGTTCGCAAAAGTTCGAGGTTACCCGCCATGGCCAGCCAGAGTGAGTATATCCCAGACGCGATGCGCTGGCTATACAAAACAGAAAATGTCTAAATAGTACATACGATACTCGATCATATCTCATCCTCCGCGAATATTCGATTACGATGATGCAAGGAGAGATGAGTATGACTTATTCATAGACTGCGTTATTAGATTGTCTTGTGTACGCGGTCATGTTTTTTTAAGATCGCTTTTCTCATGTTGGACTGAGAAAAGCGCGGGATTTACATTGAATGGATAATATTTTACTAAGTTGTTTCATGATAATTGACGTGTGTTGCTGTTTAAATTTACATTATTATTAGACTCGACCAAAAATTTATATTCTTTTATAATTATTTATAATTGTGTATCTCAAGATTATGTGTATATATATATATGTATATATGTATATTTATATATATTTGATACACATATATATATATATATATATATATATATATATTCAGTAAATAAATTTATTTTTAATCTTGTGTATTATATGCAAATTAATTAACATATATTATCTATTTTGTTCAAGGTTGAAAAAGTTAGTGATCCAAATTCAAAGAATGCTAAATATAGCGTCTACTTTTATGGTACAGGAGAAACGTAAGTAATTTTATAAGTTGTTTATAAATTTAGTTCATTTAATATCTTAATATAGAATTACTTTATGATATATTAGTATTTATTATAATATTGTCAAAGAATGTTTGTTATAATTATAATTCTATGTCAAAAAATGTTTTTATGATATTTAATCAAATGTGATATTAAATCTTAGGGCTGTTTGCAAGGTTGAAGAATTATATACCTATACAGAAAACAAAGTAAAGTTTTGCAAACCAATTCGACGAAAGTTTTTTCATGAGGGTATACAGCAACTTGAACAAGAACTTAAAAATGACAGGAGTAAACCTATGGCAGATCTCGCTGCCATTAAAGGTACTGATTAACATTTTGATACTAATGTGAAGTAATTATTTTAAAAATAGATTCAGAAAAACTATTTTGTATGCTTTTTCTTTATATTATTTGAATGTTATTAATAATGAATAATAGTTTTATCCAAAGGTGCTGATACAACAGAATTACCAGCTGCTAGTGCTACAGATAGTGACATGGAATCATCCTTAGTGATAGATGAAGGAGATAAGAAGAAATCTTTGAAAAGGAAACCTCTTACAACTACCTCCAATACTCCTGTAAGCAATATTAGTGTTTTTAATATTTGTATAAAAATAGTAAAAAAAAACTCTGGAGTATGTAATACATACTTTACAATACTGTGTAAAAACGCAGTTATTGATAAATATACTCCAAAAGAGATTTAGGAATTGCCGACAAACATTTTTAAAGATTAAATAGTTTGTGCGATTGTTCCTTACAATATTATTTATAACATATCTTGAAAAAATTAAACATTGAGAAATAATATAATGAAATATATAATAATAGGATACTCCAGAAGTGAAGAAGAAACGTGGTAGAAAACCTGTAAATGATACATCAAAACAGGAAGCTGCTCTAGATTCACAAGGCGAGGAATCACCTAAAGAAGTAGTTAGTCGCAGTGGACGGAAGATTAAGCCAAAACGTTTTGCAGATTTCTCTAGTTCTGATGAAACTGAAACCAATGTGGATAAAAATGGTATATATAATGTTTTTAATTAAAAAAACATAAAGCTTTCACAGAAAATATATTATCAATATTTTACTCTTGTTACAAATTTTTTTAATATAAAGTAAATATTCCATATAAAATGATAGATAATTTATTAAATGCTAAAGTATTCTATCGAATAATCCATATTCAGTTTTAGAATATTAAAAATTTTAATTATGAAATGTATTTGCTATCAATTGCTATCATAAACTATCTATTTCAATATTTAAAATTACAAATTTTTATTTAGAACATTCTGGACGAGGTCGTAAACCGAAAAATGAAGATGCTGAGCATCAAATAACACCCATTCATAAGAAAAGAGCTGCTATTGAAAGTAGGCATTTATACATAGATTTTACTCTGTTTAATTGTTAAATAATCTATTTTTAAAAGATTATTTATTTAATTTATAGAACGAAACAATGAAGCGTCGATACTTGATGGAGCAGTAACCAGTACCACATCTTCTGATACATCAAATCGCGTTATCTTAGCTCGTACATTTGCTGGAGAACATGTAGGCATTAAACTGGATAAGGATATGCCGAAATCTTTTGAAAGTAAAGAAGCTCGAACGCGATGGAACTGGGTAGTTGCCAGGAATGCTATGAAACTCAAAGCACAATTGGAAAGTGGTGAAATTTTGCCAGAGGCAGTGAAGGACTCTTTAGATTTTAATGTATCCGTGCCAGAAGATGAGAACCGTCTAACAAAAGATGGAGCTGTTCACCGTAAAACATATAAACTGAGGTATGAAGAAATGTGTTATATATTATAATGGTATATCATTAATTTTGGTAATTTCCTTCACATATTTTTCACAAACACTAATATCGCGATTCCTATGTTATAATGAACAAATTGTGTTAAAACGATTTCGTGTGCACAGAGCAAATGCATGATGATTGAACAGCTTGCACTATGAAGAGGGTATCTATTAATTTTTGTTTTGCAAAAATTTTTTTTATTCCTAAAGATCTAAAATTAACGAGAGTTTGATATATTATAATTTTGATATTTAGTTGTTACAGCTAAGTGCTTATATGTACAATGTTATTTTCTAGGTGGCTTCGTATAGAGGCTCAACTCCTGCAATTAGATGCTCAAATAAAATCAAATCTGGGATTGGATCGTGCAAATACAGATAAATGTTTACAGGCGATGGACGAGATCTTGGCTCTTTCAATTGATCCTTTAATGTTGAAAAAACATCCCCATATTGTTGAAACAGTGAAAAGGGTGAATAATATCTCATTTTAATCATTTTAGTAAAGAATTTTTTGCTTTAATTAAGGAATATATAATACTTTACACCTTGAGTATTGTACATTAGTTTGATTCTTCTGTTTTGTATATTTTCTTTAATTTGTTATGTTTTTTATATTTTAGCTACGACGATATATTGGCAATTTAGGAGAATGGAAACTAACTGAAGAAGAAGGGGTATGTACAAATAATACATTTATAAAATACTTAATGTGCTATTATTTTTGTTTTATTATATAATACATTTATAACATTCTTTCTAGGCTATTTTTAAACAAAAAGCAGAACAGATTAGACAAAAAGCTGAGCATATATACAACAAATATAAGGTGATTGTCATATGCAAAAAAGTTCAAATATAATTATTTAAATTTGTTTCTTTTATCATATATTTACTAAAATTTAAAAATGTGCAGGCTATGTTCACCATACCTGAAGGTCAGTCATTTTGGCAATCATTTTCGAGTCAAGTCGGTCACTTCAAGGAATTGACAAAAAATATGCCTGAAGAGAAGGTATTTTCATTGATGTCTGACCCTGCTTGTTCAGGTAATTTTGTTATATGTTTCATGATTATTTATGAATAATAAACAATTGATTAAATTTACAACTCCTGATGAAATAATTAGAAATGATACATTAAATTAAAAAATATATTCTGTGACATGCATGTATATTGTATGTATGTGTATATATATATATATATACACAATATACAAGCAAGTTATATATATATATATATAAACATTTACAAGTTATATATATATATATATTTATTTATAAATGTTTGATATATGTATATAGATGCAGGAAGATCAGAAGATTCACTTTTGGCAGATGACATTGCCAGTCAACTGGATGTGACAACAGAATCTGTAACAGAACCAGAAAAAGCAGAAGCGGAATTTGAGCTGGAACCAAAAGCAGAAACTGAACCTGATCAAATAGTGCAAGCAGAAACAGAAGTGGAGTCGGAACCAGTCGCTGAAACAGAAGTAGAAGTGCCTACTAGATGTGAGAGTCCCAAAAATGAGGAGACCAAGTAACATATATAAAAATTTTTATTCGATAATATAAACTTTGCTTATTTTCTTGTATACCATTATGGTCTAAAAAAAAAGAAAAAAACGGATATATATATATATATATATATCGGGCGCATTCATAAAGTTATATTTTTATTTTGTTGGCTTTATAATCCTCTGTCTAAATCTTATGTTTCTATCATTGCATGTCATTAAATTGTTTAACGGCATATACTTATAAATTTAATTTTTACAATATACTTAAAAGATCTACTAGAAACATTCTAGTAGAAAATTTGTTAAAACTTAACATTTCGACGAGATGTAAATAACATGATCTCTTGCTACAATCAGAAATCCATCAAAATACAAAGTATTAAAAGGATTATAAAATCACTTCAAACTTTAATTCTGTGAATGCGATCGATCTTGCTTTGGCATATGTGGAAGTCAATCTCTTGAATAAGTTGTGTTGTACTTTACTTCATGAGTTTGTGAGTATATATCTATAATTGCAGTACATCTGCATTGTGTAATCGCAGTACATCTGCATTATCATTTGATGCAATATTTGCAAACACTATTGATCACAACTAACTGGATAAGATCAGACAAATATTCACTGTCAGAGATTATTCAATAAATGTGGCTGATATAGTGGATCAACTTAAAAAAAACGAAACGAATAGTATTTTTACTTGACAGTAAAATGATGCTGTCATGTATCGAAATACTAGTCTTTGTATATTTGGGTAGTGCCATGGAGAAAATTTGTAAAGAGCACATAAACACTATTCACACAAAACTTATTTACATGTTTAGTTAATACAATTGATGTTAGCGATAAGTGTCACATATTATATAAAAATAATGCAATGGTCGTTAGGAAAATAGTCTTTGACATTTGCATTATGTTTCAAGCAAAAGTTTCTCGTGTTTTTTTCGTATTTTAAAAGTTTTTTCTATTACATGAAAATGATTTCTCATTTTTATTACATTTTAAAGATAAAAATATATTTTTTTTATATATGCTTCCATGAGCATTCATGATACAATATATTGTCCGTATATTCAAAATATTACTGTTTCGATTGAAGTAATTACTATTATATTATAATAGCAAATTCGGTTACTGTACAAGGTTATCGTACACAAATTAACAATGCCATAAATAATTAAAAAAGTAAGATAATTAATGGTATAAGAGGTAATATTATTCAATAATAATATAACAATTTGTACTATTATAATTATCTTACTGTTTTCATTACTTATTATATTGCAAATTTGTGTACGATAACCTTTAATGTGCACTAGTGCATCCCACTGAATTTGTAAAAATCATTCAATGCTCGTAAAAAATTATCGAAATTGTACAAATTAGAAATATAATTCAACAGTTTCTCGGACATTATCATATCTTTATTACAAACGACGTGGCAATTATCGTAAACATTTGACGAATTTGGTAAGTATTAAATCTCATTTTATAATTAATGATATAATGTATTGTAAAAAAAAAAAAAATATATATATATATGAATTTTTGTATTGAAAATGTCAAAAATTAGAATAAATCGCCATGGTAGGCGTTATACATTTTATTTTAAACCGGAAGTAAATTTATTTCCATTTTCGTATATAACAATTTAACGGAAGTCTTATTACATTAAACTTAATGAAGTTAGTTTAAATGTACATTTTTAGTTATAATCATATAGGATATAGTTGTAATTTTATAATCGCATATCTCGATAAAAGAAAATTTGTAAAAGTAATCTTGTTAATAAAATCGCATATCTGAAAGAACGAAGATTTAATATGAGATATGATCACATCGAATTATTTGTATTAACTAGATATGATTATAATTATTTGTATTTATCCACTGTTACGTTCGCGGACTTGTCTTAACATTGTTTTATTTTTGGTAAGATCTTCGTAATATGATTGATTTAGATGTAATAAATTCAGAGGCGAGTTATGAACACTTAGAAGCTAATTTTACAGAAGCAAGGTCACAATAGGATAAATTGATGCAAATGCTCGATTTGTAATGCGTATGTGCACATAGGACTTGTACAGATATGGAATTGATAAAATATCAGTACAATCTGATGTGAGTTTATGACTGCGTTTGCTTTGACGCTTTCAGCACTATAAACACATCTTCTGTCTTACACATCGAATATCAAACGAAGGACAGAAGATGCTTATAGCGCTGGAAATGTCCAAAACGAACGCAGCTTATATCTTACTTTAACGTATTATTTTATTTATATAGATATTTTAGATGTACGCGTAGAATTTAAAAAAAAATTAAAAGTATATAAGAGATTTTTCTCATATAAAAAAAGAGAAATATAAATATGTATAAATTAACAAAATATATATGGTATACAAGATTTTAAATCTCATTAATTTTAAATTATGTTATGAAAGAAAATCAAAGATAATCACATAAAAAGTGTCAAAATTGAATTTTATATTCTCCGATAAATCGTTAGATGACGTAAAAATTCTCATTGACAATAAAACCAATATTTTATATAATGCAGTTTTTTTTTTTTTTTTCCTTTTTTTTAAATTAAAATAAGAGAATTTTATATATTAGAGACTAAAAAATTGTTACATATTCCTATAACACCTCTTAATAATAGAGACAACGGATTGTTGCAGTTATGAGAAAATTTTCAAGTCATGTTTGCATTAATTACTATAATCGAACATTAGAGTTGAAAAAAAAACATAAAACTGCATATTCTGTATGTACATCGTTTATCATGCTATAGATATATATAGAAATGCAAGTAATAAATATTCCAGAGGGTTTAGTGAACGTCACTAACACTACATAACACAACATTCCTAGCCAGTAATCTGTATTTTCATCGCGATCGGTATCAGGTGATACAGAATAAAAGTTAGCTTCATATTTTATTACATGCTTATGAGCCTCACAGACTTAATAATTAATAATGTTTTGCATATATGATGCGACCGCGAGAAAAAGGCATTTGCGAAATTTCCTCGCTACACACGTTCAGTGCGTCTGCATGAATAAAGCGCGAAGTTAAAGCAGTGTTTATTTATTAAGTTTGATAATTAATCTTATATGACGTTTCAACAAACAATTTCTACTCGCGGCAACTGGAAAGATAGATATCGATAAAACTTACCTAATTAAATTAGCTAATTCTGCGTTATATATGCGTGAAATGATATTATCTTATATGTTAACGAGGAAGACTTGAAATTATGCAATGTATGAATTAAAAAAAAGTTTTACGTATAGATACTTAACAAAAGTAAATAAATACATAATATTTGTAAAATAAAATTTCTATATATTTAATTGAAATATGAAAACAAGACAGAAAATATTCACAAGTCATGAAGAAGAGCATGAATAAATATAAATTCATAAGATATAACAGAGAAGAATTAGATATTAACTTCAAATTAAATTATGGAAGAAGATAACCATGGCAAGAATACCTCCGATTCGATCGAATTAATTTACATGGATGTTAAGATTTCCAATTTCTGCGAAAATCTAAATAAGATGAGTATCGTCGCAGAAAAAACCAGTAAGCAGAAAGTGGCGGAAATCAGATCGGAGCCGCGTGAGGATGCTTCCCTCTGGATGGTTCGGGTGCTGATAATATTTTTCAAGCTCATCGGTCTCGCTACGTTCACCTATCGTACTGACACGCAGAAGAAGAGGAAGTTATTTATATTCCAACATTCCAAATTCGACATCGTCTACAACGCCGTGCTAATCAGCTTGATGCTCGCTTCGTTATCCATATCGATACCATACAGATTCACGATGGAATACGAGAACAAGACGAACTTGAACGAAGTTATTGAGACTATACAAACTGTACTCGGCGCTTTCGTGATCTGCATGATTTTACTCTTCTATTGCATCGAGCAGAAGTCTTTAGTGCGAATGATGAATCGATTGACGGATATCGAGCACGAACTCGATCGTCTTCACGATCCATCGCAACGACAGCGTGTCTTGTGGGGCCTGATCGTGGTCTACATCTTGAACGGTTGTCTTGTAATCACTCTTGCGACCACCGAGGTTCTGGCCTTCCACACGAGTCCGGTCTCCTGGTTGTCGGACATCCTGCCGAGCTTTCACGTGGGTTGGATGCTAGTACAATACTTTCTGCTGGCGACGATCATCCAGGCGGATTTCGCCGACGTGAATCGGACGCTGCAGAACCTGTCCAGGGTTAGCACTTCGGATCTTCAATCGCAGACTTTCTGTCAGACGCGCCGCGTCATCGTCACCAACTCCACCGTTCATCAGCTGCTGAAGCTGCGAGATGTGCACTGTCACCTCTGCGAGATCTCGGGGAACGTGTCTGATTTCTACTCGTTGCCAGTACTGTACGGCGTCACTTTTCTTTTTCTAACGCTCGTATATAATGGCTACTATCTTCTCTCGCCTCTGTTAATGTCCGACGAAGTTTTAGAATACAAGGTGTTTATTAACACCGTCTTCTGGATAATATATGTGATTTATCCTATTTTTCTTCTCACCAGCAGAATTACTAAGCTAATGAACGAGGTAGGATATGCAAATTCGAATTTATTTTTTTGCGCTCCAGTTATAGAGTGCTTTAATTGATTTACTGATGAAAGAAAGAGAGATGAGATCAAATATTTTATAATAGAAGATTTTTTGCATATTGTTATTTCAATTACGAATTTTTGTAGATGGAGAAAACAGGTAATGTGGTACATAACATCTTAAGTATCGCGATCGGCAAAGAAGCAAAGTCTGAGGTAATTATAAGTTAATTTTTTTTTAAACGATATTTATCGTAATTCGACATTTATTATAGATTTGTTGTAGCTCAAGGAGTTTTCACTTCAAATACTACATCGTAAGATACGATTCACAGCTAATGGATACTTCGCACTCGATAACAGTTTCTTTCATTCGGTGAGACTATTGAAAATATTGTCTCGAAACATGTCTAATATGAGAGACAGAATTAAATTTTTCTTTAATTAATATATAAATTAATAATAATAACAATTTTAATCATCAGCTGGTCGGTACGGTGGCGACGTATCTGGTGATACTTGTGCAATTTCAAATGGGAAGCTCAAGATCACAATGTAATGTAAATTGTACACCTAAAGATTCTTAAAATACAGAATAATAATAATTGAAATTGGAAAAACTTACAAACTTAATTATGGATATCGACACGTGCGTAGAATTGCAAAGATGACTGCATTTCCTATAATAATGCAATTTCCTCATACGTACATATATTAATCTGTTCTAATCTACAGATTTGGAGGATAAAGGTATAAAGAAAATATATATTATATAATACATAAGTTACATATAATTATCAATTAGTTTATTTATTATACATCATCAACTTGAACAGTACCCGATTACTATGGGGTACAATGATAAAATGGAATTCTAGTACAAATTTCTCTAATGTGTGAACTTTCTTGTTTAATGCCGTCGTCCATTATAACTTCGCCACATTTTTTACTTTTCTCGCAAAAATGTCTTATAGCAATAAATTTTCTTACAGATTGCACTTTCTTTTACCGGCTCGGAAATTTTTCAGAGAAACGTCAAACACGATCGTTGCTAACAATGATAATTAAAAACTATTAATTCGTAACGACACGAAGTTGATTTCTCTATTCGCTTGTAACCTAGGCTCATATTTACGAATGTCATTTTGTATAACAGAAAATTGTATAGCAAGTCTTTCAATACTTGTACAGTAAATAATTGCACATAAAATTTTGGAGTAACACGGCATGTGGTTTATAGTTATACGACAGGCATTTTTAGCTACTTTCCTTGTCGACTAGGAAACTAGTTTCCGAGACGGTCTTTCCTAATCACAACCAATTAATACTACGTCGGCGAATTATAGCCCATTCGTCATCGTGAATTCGCTGCAAAATGTATGCGCGAAATTGCTCCTCAAATGCGTCATGGAGTTTTTTTTCTCTTATCTCGAATCGCATCGAAGATCACTGTTGCGTGATATGTGAAACGCACTATACACATACACATATCATATATACATACAGCTTTCTATTATTTAAATTTATATGTTGACGTATTCATAAATTTGTAATATTCGCACGTTTATATACCTGCATCCCTATTTATGGCTCTCTAGACATTTTTATTCATTCGATTTACGATACGTATTCCAAATGTCACGCCATATATAGCATTGATATTATTGCACTAACAGATAAGCGTTGTTAATGCTTAATAAACGCATGTAAATGCGCACGACTTTCAAGTGAATTCGAATACTTTACGCGCGAGCGCACATTTTCTTTCTCTAAAAATATACTAATATAAAGTACGCACACGCGATTATACTTTCCAGCATGATATAAATGTTTCATATTGTTTTTAACACTGTAGGTCTTCCCTTGAACGCATTTCTGCGCATTTTAAAACGTACATATTGTGTAAGTTTCGCATTGGCTCCGTATTGAAATCTGTTTTTCTCAAACTACTCGTTATAGCAAAATGTTCGTATAAAAAAATATATTAAAGTTTCGGCTTAAAATTGAATTTTGTAAAAGTTCCATATCGATATTTAATAATCGCCTTAAATAATATCGTATTTTGTTAATTAGCCGAATTGCAAAGCTAATTTTTTAAGATCCTTAATCATTGACAGATCTATTGCAGATCGTTTGAAAAAAGATTCTTTTGTTTAATATATTCTAATTCTTACATATTGCACACATGATAATGCAAATATTCTGTTACTTTAATACGAAGAGTTCTGAAATTAAGTATCTCAATTATTTTATTCAAATTTTATATAAATCGTATTTTAATAAAATATTTTGTGCTATGTAATTTAAACAAAGTTGAAAAATTGTTTTTCAAGAATCTAGTGTATTAAAAACTTGCTTTTATTTATATAATTAATTCGAATAATTAAACAACTATCCGACAGAATATATCTATTATCATTTAGTAAAGTAAGAATTGTCGCATAATTAATTATTATATGCCACAGACTATACGAATCGACTATATTCTTTCCCTTTCATTACGAATGACATTGGATGTCCTTCAAGGGATTACTTTATTACTGCCTTACTTTATAGAAAATTATATATTGCATCTATATTTTAATACGTAAAATTTTCATTGCAACAAAGAAACCAATTTTACTATAATTAAAATGTATATATTGTCGCTGATGGCTAGTTGGGCGTGTCCAATATGAAAAAGTTATGAAAATAGAATTTTAAAGTTCAACTCTCTCGCGAAAGATTTTAGCTAATTTTGAATTTTAAAAATAACAAAGAGATATACCTTATTTATTTTTTGTTAAAAATTTTAAACAAAAATTTTTTATCTAAAATATTAATGAAAAATCGAATTGCTATATATATTATATATAAAAGCTAATTTTTTTCGGTTATGTTTATAAGCGAATATACGCGCAAAGAGTTCTTTATAGCACAATGTTAATATTTCAGAGCAAAAGAAATTATGCATTGTTATATGATTTGAGAATACATAATTAATGTTATTTATCTGTATACACAATATTTTTTGTCAGCTCAAAATAATTTCAATAATTCTTATTCACAATGTTGAATTGTCAGATAATAATATTTAATTAATTCTTTCTCTTAACAACTGATATTTGCCAGATTTTTTTTCTTTTTCTTTTAATGAAAATGTATTCCCCAACACTTGCCAGCAATAACTTGCCAGATATCCCTCAAAGGAAGCATACGTATATTATATTGATTTACGTATATATTGCGGGTTTCTTTGGCATAGTATGATTATAAAGTTATTTTAACTACTTAATATCTACACGCAGAAATATGTTATTGCACGGCAATACGATATTCTTATACATGCTTTTTTTCTATGATTCACATGTTGTTACTGATGAACTTAAAACTACAGTCATCAATGTTCAAATATTCGAATAATTGGAAATGCATATATTTATCCGAATCATTACTCATGATATATCTGCATGATACTATTTATCATTACTTTTATTATATTTTCAATGCATGTCATTCTATAAGAATGAGAATTATCGGTATTAATTATTTGAATATTTGAATAGATGAAAACTTAAATAATTCTCCAATTTCACAAGGATCGTGAAAATTTGAATTTCACTGTGTAATTTTCCTTGCTATGTTTTATAAATGCCATGTATACGTTTGTTTAGTGTCACAATTTTGAAAAATGTGCGTTTCTTCACGAATTTCTCTAGCGTAATATATTGCTGTTGACTTATATAAATCATATAAATCTTACTAGTCCAGATCGTATGTATATCGCTTAAAGAAGATATATGGTATATAAGATTTTTTTTTACTTTTTCTGCCGTTACTTAACGTAGAAACATTCTATTCTACGTTTTTATTACTTCAAAGCATTTTTTCGAATTTTAGAATCGGTTTTTTTTCAGTTGCTTTTTTGAGTTGCTCGTACAATTCACTCGTAAAATTAATGAAAAAAAAAAGAATTGTTTGTTGAATAATTACCTGAAAGAATATAGATATACATCATCGCTTCTATTTCCACATACTTTTGCAATTATTTTTACATGAATCAGCCACAATTCGACAATGGTTTTAACAACCTGCATTATCAAACTCAAGAGAGTGAGAGAAAAAGGTTTCATAAAATCACAATTGGACACTATTGACGAATCTTGTTGAATTGTTTCTATATACATTGGGAAAATGTGTGTGGTGAGAATCTCATTTACAGTTGAGTATAAATTGTATAGAATATCGCGCAAATCGACGTACGCATTGTCTGCTAAATGTAGTATAAATATAATACAAGGAGATAAAATGATAGGTATGCATTTTCCTTTATAAATATTCCTTTGGATGAGGATAATCGTATTTCATAAATTAGATGATGAAATTAGGTGATCAATCTATTATTTTTTGTCAGTTCATTGGCGATTCATGAGATCAAAATGTAGAGAGCAATAGTGTCGACATTAAATGATTGTAATTAAAGAATTTCATACTATACTCTAACATATGTTCACTTCTGTTGTCTTCTTATTAAACGGAAGTTTCGGCTGAGGTAGTACCATTTGCTTTTAAAGGACTGATGCTTTCCTTGGATCGAATTAAATCTACCTGAAATAAGCGAATTGAAAAAGTATTCATTAATTTCGAACAATGTAATTCTTTCAAATTTTACTTTGATGTAGTTTTCCTAATAAGATATGTGTAGAGTTGCCTTCTGTTATTGTTCTAAATTTTTTATGAAAATTTGAATAATTATAAACATATACATATATTTATAGTTGTAAGTTACTCTATAATCATTTTTACAATATTTAATTTTTTTAACCTTTCTCATTTGATTACAAATAACAATATGAAAGAAAAATTTTAAATTATACAAAAATATCATATATAGATAAAAATAGTATTACAGATATATAGCAGAAAGAAAAAATCTCACATTTTATGAGAAATATTTCATATGTAAAATATAATATATATAATAAAAGATATATATATATATATATATGTATTATATCATTAAAATTTCCGAATAATTCTAATAACTTGACAATTTTTTTAAAAAATATATAAATATATATAATATATATAACGAGATAAAAAAAGTAACTTTCTAATGCGCATGCAACGTTAAAAATAGCTAATAATGCAATGATAAAAAAGAACATGCGATTATGGATGCTTCTATTCTATATTTTATAAGGAGAGAAAACGTTATATCAGTCTATTTCATCTTAAATTCACATTATGTATTTTTCTTCGATTATTTTCGGTGTACGGTTATTCTCCATTTACAAGTCAAAATGCATACAATTAAAAAGTTAATCACTATATACAGGATAAATGATATAAAGATGAAATGGGAATCGAAATGAGAAATGAGTCTAGACCTACATGTAACGTCTTCTCAATCAGTGTTTAATTACTTCATTGCACGAATTAGTGCGAAACACGTGCGAAACCTATTTCTACAAGCACGAATTGCAAAGCTGAATTTCATAGACGATTATTATATGACGAAAAGAGTGAAACGTAGTTAGACTTGTGCGTGACAGATAGACTCGTTAAAAAAATAAATTGGGAAAAAATTCTTTTTTTTATGAATAATTATACTCTGAAATTTTTATAAGTCTGCAGTAAAAAAAAAACTCGTGGAAATTGAAAGCTCCAAGTCACGCGGAATTGCGTGCATTACGGTCGCAATTAATATTTCATGTATGACGTTGCTATATACATATGATAAAAGTGTGATTCTCATCGCAATCTCGTCGTCTATGAAAATCTATTTTTTTCTATGACGAGTCGTCCGCGTCTGAATTCGCTTTTACGTCGACTCGACGAGGGCCGTCCTCGTTTCTAAGTTTACTCACAGCGGCGGTGCATGGGGTATGTTGCATGCCGGTGTGTTGGTGCTCTTGCTGTGTGTCTTGCCATATGAATGGTCGGTTTTATTTTTCATGATGGTGATGGTAGTTAGAATTTAGAGTCATTTACGTTTGTCACCTTGATCGAGATCCCACTGTCATCCTCGTCCTCTTCGGTCATCGTCGTCAGTCTCGTTGTCTCGTCGGTCACCAGGGAGTTGTCCTTCTTCGGTTTCTTCTGTTTTCCCACACTGTATATGCCAGATAATACAATTAGTTTCAACAGTTATAGTCTTCGCATTAATTACTTCTGCTTTTTCTGTTCGGAAAACATTGAAATTTTAATATTTATTGATGATTGAAAAAATCTTAATACTAAAATAGTTAGAAATTATTTTAATAATTGCCTATTCCTTCTCTTTCTTTCACAGCATTTTAATTTTAAGTTATATGAAGTTCGCATTGAGTTTATATGAATATGTAAATGTAAAGCAAGATATTTAATCAAGTATTAATAAGTGTCAGGCGATCTAGAAAAATATAAAAATAATAAAATATACACAAATATAAAATGTAATATATTGTAAGAAAATTATTGGGGAAAAAGAAAATACAAATAAGAATTTTTACTTAATTTTATGTCTCGCTTTATGAAATCTCTGTAAGGATACAGCTGTTGAAAATTCGATGCTTACTTGATTAGTGATTTCGATTGCTTCGACTTTTCATTGCCTTCGTTGACCTGTTGCCAGATACCGGTCTTATTCACCTCCTCGCTGATATTGATACTAGTCAGAGGAATTTTCATGATGTTCCCATTAGCCAGAGAAATTTGAATATTTCCCGGTGGTCCATATCCCATCGTCTCGTTCGGATGCTCCTCCTATGAAACGAATTAAACGATAGTGTGAGTTTTGACGTTTACACGCGATCGCTCTCTACCAGAGGCCATGCATAAATTATCAAGCGAACTTTGCGTTGCTTTTAAATTGCTGGGGAGCAGGCATGATATATTGCTTGCCAGCATATTTCACAAACTAGTCAGTTATACGCGACAATAAATTATAGATGTGTACAGGAAGTAATAATAATAATAATTAATGGTAAAAAGGGAAAGTCGTGAAACACTAAAAATAAATTGGCAAAAGTGTGACTCTTTGTGTGTAGAAAAAATGCATTGGAAAAATTAGTGCGACGGGTCCATGATGACAATGGAGTCAGTTTTATGATTTAGGGAAAATGATTCTCTAAAATAGATATGTATGAATGTATATGTGTATTATAACAATGATTCTCTGCTTGTCTCGCGGGATATAATCGATAAAATATTATCATTTTATCCGCGTATAATCGATCAAGAAATAGCGATAACATTGATGCTTATACTTTAAGGAGAAATAATATGTGCAGCATTTATACAGTTATATTAAATTATTCGGGCTAAATAAATAAAAAGTCTGTGCGTAAATGCACATACTGTTAATATCTATCAATATCGCTTTAATTTCACAAGAAGAAACATCGTTTTGATCCTCAACCAAAAAGCATAAGCTACAATAAATAATTATTAACTTGACTAAACATTTCAACTAAATATTATTTTGTTAATTGCATATATAAAAATATTTAAATTAAATATAACATAATAAATCTAACAAAACATATATTTAACTCGAATACTAATATATGTTCAATTAACAAAATAATAATTTAGTTGAAAGATTTAATCAAGTTAACAAATTTGTTTTTCAGTGTGCGAAAAAATTGTAACATGCTTTCGATATTATTGCGATCGATTTAGTGACGAGTAATCGATATATGATTACAATCGGAACGCAATGCGTAAATCGGCTCACAGAATAGTCAACGTCGCGAAAAGCGCCTCTCTCTTCGTTACGTAACGTGTAACTGACACAAGAGATTATAAGTTCGCCGCGAATTCGTTCGCTCTTGTTGATAAAAGAATATATATATATATTTACATATACATATATAATATATGATTGTCGATATGCGGCGGAACTACGGACGTGCACCTATAGTGACGTACCGATGACAGGCGGAGGATTCGATTGACGCTTTTTTTCGTTTGCGATTTCCGTACCGATATCCCGTGTTTGTCCGGCTTGTGTTTTCTTTCAGTCGCTCTCTCACTGAATTTTCTCTCGCTGAATCGTCATTCTCCTCCGTGAGTCATGGTGCTTCCACTCGGTTATTCCGCCTTTTTGCATCGTTAACGAACGCACAGCTGTCAGCTGTTACACGATGCGACGTTTAATCGGTCGTTCGCGTTAAGAAATACGTCATTAGGGGGAAAAATTATACCCTTATATTGATTATATTTTACCGCATTATATGAATAATTATCTTTGTAATAATTCTGTAATTAACAGCTGATTTTAGTGCAGAACTTTTTAATTAATCTTTTTTACTTAAACCTTTTAATTTAAGTTTTAATCCAAGTTATCTTTGTGATATCGTGAAACAAAATTTTAAGTTGTATATGTAAAAAGTTGTGTTTTTTTACTACGTGTGTCATCCTTTTCTGACATTGACATATCGAAAAATATTTCAAAAATTAACAGAATCAATCTTGGAAAAAATCTCCTCTTGATAATGGAATTGAGCGTAGCAAATATGCGAATTATTATTACAGTTTAATTTTTGAATAGATTTATTTAATTTAGAGTTTTTTTTAACACGTAAAATTTCTGTCTACATTTAAATTATAAAAATAAAATTAAATGTGCTACTTACACAAACAAATAAAAAAATTGAAATCAAGTTATATTGCAAAAGAATAATTTGATAAAATGCTTATATATGTATAAGCAAATTTAACATCACTTATTGTATTGTACATGTAATTTTATAACGTACTTTTTAATTGTTATTAATTATTTTTAAATTATATTAAAAATCTTGATTTTTTTATAAGCTTGAATATAGAAGTAACTCAAGCAATTGAAATTACGTGAATCATTAATTGTATTTTAGGAGTTGGAATTATAAGAAGGTTCCGTGTGTTTCGAAACAGTAATGTATTTTTACATTATGATAAGATAAGTGGATTGTATGTACGACGGCGCGTCGAATCGATACAAAAATCTCGAATGGTCCACAAAAAAAAAGAGACAGATATCAGCGACTTGGCGATGTATTAAATGCAGGAGACACTTTCATTTCGCCGAGTCGTGATATCGTGATGCGTCGATCGCTACTCGACAAATATTTTCGTTGATACCATTTAAATGGTCGACAACCTGCTATATGTTTAATAATACATATAGTTGATTAACTATGGATATATTTAAAAAAAACCTCTGATCGCGACCCAGAAAATGTATATATATATATATGTATATATTCTTCTATAGTGAACTGATCGTAATTTATCTATTTTTTATAGTACTATATTATTTAAATATCATTTAGAATCAAATAGAAGAATAGCTACATTTAAATCATTTAAACGTACGAAATAGTAAAATATTGCTTACTTTGCAATAATCATTTTTCACTTAATTGTTAAACACAATTTGTGACAGTTTGAAATATCCTGCTTGTGTTACATGGCTATCATATAATATATATAATATTTTGTTATATAATATTATTTATATTCTCGCGACTACATTACATTAAAGCATAAGAGACTGCATTTTTTATATTTTTATTTTAAATTTGCCTAAAATCATAACTATCAAGCAAAGAGTATTATATTATATATTCTCATTGAATATCTGATCGTACGTTAATAACGTGTTCACTATAGAAGAATAATTGAGTAATTTGCGAAGTGTGTTGCGCAAAATAAAATTTCGGACAGCCGTCGACGTGTTCGAGAAGCGCTCGCAGAAACGATCAGTACTCAACACATTATCCTAATCTCGCTACAACAACAATGCTATAGATACAAATATTTAAGATTGCGGTATCCCAAAAGTCTACCGTGATCAAAAATTCAACAACGATTATTATCATTATTACATTTATTTTAATACTGGTCGGTCGGTAAGCCACCTGGTTTTAAGAATTGTTTTTGGCACATGTGCTGGATGGAAGACGAGAAGGATGGCTTTCGAGACCAAAAGCTTCGTTGGGTCGTTGAAAGAATATCGGGTGAAAAATTCGCCGCGTAAAAAATGCTTCACAGGCAACGAATATTTTTGAGTAAAGTGGCAAATACTTTCACGCTTAAAAAAAAGCAAAATTTTCTTTAATAGACTGAAAACAGTCCATCCTGTGTGCGCTTTCAAGAAATGTTTGCGTGATACCATTCTCGTCATCTTAATGTTATGCAGACGATGAAGCGTCCTTTGCGAAATTTTCAACCAGAGAGGAGTAAAGAGTTGTTTCGATGCGATTGCATTAATCGTAAAAAGTATGCATTTTGCGTAGAAATATATATATGTATATATCACATTGTGGTCCACCCGTTTTTGTTAAAATTATTAAAGCCCGAAATATTGGCTCTCTTAAATTATTCTGCATATACATGATTATGCACGTGAAATTAAACTATATATCCTAGCTTATATATGTTCTTTACTCGAATCTGGTCTCCGCGCGGCGACGAAAAACTGACTTCGTCTTAGGTGACGTTCCGATCGCACGTCTTGGTATACACGTCGTTGTCTCTGCAAAGGGCGGATTCCCCAAAATCGGAAAGAGTTATAGTGACCACGGGGCGAGTATTCGTCACGCGATCACTGTTTGTATGCTATTTGCGACAAGTGATGGCGTTTAATATTCGTGTCGCGGTGCTAACCTCGCCGTTCTCCAGCTTGCGAAGATCGTCCGCGTGTTTCTTACTCGTTTCCGGCATTACGTCGTCGAGGATCTTCAACTCGCGTTGCGTAAACATCAGGTCCAAGGACTTACGTATACCGATCATTACCACGAGCTGGAAAATTTTTTAATTTGTAATCATTGCAAATATATCATTATCGGTATAGACTCTAGGAAATTCATTGACTCATCTAGTTTTGAGATTTTACAACAATATATAATCGACTTCTTTTTCTTTCGTAAAATGCAAATTTACTATATCTAATAGCTGTTTCTAATTGTTATTACGAATCGATGAATCCTCAAATCAATTACTCACCATTAAAGGAAATAGGATGGAAGTAGTACTGAAAGATTTTATAAGCCACAAGCAGGCGAGGCAAGTGAGCTGGATCGCAGTGAACATATGTACGCGCTTCAATGGCACCTGAAGACACGTATACTTGTTTCAAGATATTGAAAAGAAAATAGCTTGAAAGTAACATTTGACTCACAAGTATCCCAAATTCAATTTTTACAAGTATTTTATTAAAGTGAGAAAATAATTTTAAAAAATCAAAGTTAGAAAATAATATTAAAAAATATTTATCCTTAACAGCACACATATCCCGAAGACGATTAGAGAACATCCTGAGGATATCCTCTGAATATCTTTCGGATGTGTTGTGCTATTAGGGATATTATTAAAGTTAGAAAATAATATGAAAAAATATATAAAGATCGGAGAGACAGGATTGATTTATACCTGGCGAAGGAACATGTAGTCTGGCTGATACTTGACAGGCATCAGCATAATCAAAATTCTATCGAAGAACTGAAGACCCTTCAGCGACGCGACGCCCATATACAGGAAGACACCGAACAACACCGGCATCGGTATGTTCCTCAACATCGGTGTTAGGAACACCGAGCATCCGATCATCAAGAAAATCAACACGTGAGTAACCCTCTGCTCGCGGACACCTAAAAACTGCGGCTTCTCACCCGGAGCGGCGCACTCGGACTCCAACTTCAAGGAATTCACGTGATTTATGGAGAGAACCGTCGCTGCGACGAACCATGGAAGTCCCATCACCGAGCATATCTCGATTAGAATCGCCAAGATAAAGAGGTCCAAGTGATATCCGCATCCTTTCTGTATTAAAAAAAAAGATATATCGACGCGATTATCGAATGATTCCTACGAGAATAAATATAGAAATATTTCGGTAAAGTGTAACACTCGCTCACCTTTAATTTGTTCTCTTTTCTATTAACAATAACGGCTGTGATTTGCTGATCCATGAAGATCAATATAGTGCCCAATAAAGCTGGGGGACATGCGACGATGGCACTCCACAACGGATTCTGCTGAAAAGGCGAGATTATCCATCCTCGTCCCTCTAAGGTTGGTTTGAACTCCGTTGGTACCTCCAGCTTCGGTGTTGGAATGCCCACGAAATGGTCCAGTGTGCTCATAGAGAATATTGCGATTATTACTGCAAAGTCGCTCACCACTTGTCTTACCTGAAGTGATAAAATAAAATTATATAGTAGATCCAATTATTGGATTCTCGATATAAATAAAGAAATAATTATTTTGAGATGCTAAAACGAATAAGCACCCCTAAATATACTATTAGCGACTATGCAAGATTTTAAATATAATAATAATGATGAAATTTTAAAATTATTTATCTTCTTTAATTAAAAAAATAAATTATTATTTCAATGCGTGTCGATTGTTCATAAATTCTTCAATTTAACATTATGTTCACCTTTGAGGGAAAGAATAAGGCGTTCTTGAAATCCTTGAGCTCGACTGATAATAAGAATGTGCCCATGAATAGAATAATTGACATGAGGAACACATTGGGTACATAATGCGGTGCGTTGCAGGCGTCGCCCACCATCGTACCATTGTAATTCTGAAAGAAGCAATAATGAACACGATGCCAAAGGAAATGTGTAGAATTGGATTGCAGCCAAGAGTGTATTTTCTCGCGAACTCAGAAACGTCTTACAAGTAATCCAATTGGTCGCAGGAACGTGTAATTTCGTAAAAATATATAGAAGAAACCAGAACCGCATGTTTGATCACTATATGATTGAACGAGACGTTTCTTTCGCGTTTTTTTACCCCACTCGCAATTGACGTCAAACGAGTTAAAAGTCTACAATTTATATAACGAGACGCCCGAAGATACACGAGTGACAGAGCAAGATAAAAATTACACTTTGATCAACTCGGTTGACAGAGTTTGATTAAAGAGTATTCAATGTCGCAATCTCTTAAAACTTGTTAATGTTGAACTATAAATAGATATTGATTTCTCATGCGTTATTTCCAATACCTCGCAAGCTGTTTTATCCAACGTCGTCCAATTCATATTGTCATAACTGGATGGCAGACTGATGTTTGGTGGTTTGCACCAGCAATCGTAGCCCAACGTTCCGCTCGAAGAGGTGTTCAGAGGAAATTTCTTGCCGATCGACAACACATTCTCGATAGCCTAAAATGATATCGACACACTTAATAATAATATTAGATAGATATAACAATTGTAAACGTGATTTATATTTTCAAGTATAAAAACATTAACAATTTTTCCTAGTATGAAAAATTTTTACTAGTGTATATTAAATATAATAATAAATAATATTTTGTTTTTCTATAATTTATATAATAAATAATTCAATATACTGTATTGTGGAAAACTTGAATAATAATCTAAATCTAAGTTGACCGTTTGCTACTAATACTTTTATCGCAAAAAGATATTCGAAAATAGCATAATATATGTTCTTTTTTTAAATGACTTTAATGTGTAAAAGAATTTCACACACAAAAGATTTATTTATGAAATATTTTGTCTACAATACTGATAGAGTTGTACGATTTTTTTCACCTTGTAAATAAAGATGAAAGCGATGAGAGTGGCGAAGTTCTCTTCAGTAAATCGAGTAATATAACAGACGCAAGCACTTGCGTCAAGAGCCACGAGAATGAGCAAAATAAAGGCGATCCATGTGCCGATCCAGAAGCGAAAGGACATGTAACTCCAGTCGATCTTTCTGCAAGAAAAAAAGCAATCTGACGAGATTATCTCGGAATCCGCGAAGAAAGAAAACGTATTACTGGGGAAAAATGTATGTAATATTCTATATCTATCTTCGTCGTAAGTTATAATATAGAAGATGCTTTAGAAATTATTTATCAAAGATCTCTGCAAAAAATAAGCTTTTTTTTATCGGCAAGATATATCACTTTTTATTGAGACTTACCTGCAGAATTCGTAGACGATTGTTTCGAAAACTAAAACCGGACCGGTAGAACCGAGTATAGTCAACGGCTGGCCGGAAAAGAAGCCATATCCTATTCCGCAAACGAAACCGGAAACCAGCGACTCCATCGCGGCCATGTTCTTTCCGGTAGCCTCGCTGAGGAGTCCACCGAAGGTGATTATGGGCGATAAGCAGGCGAAGTACAAGAAGATGAAAGAAGCCACGCATTGAAGCGCCAGGGCGTCTTTGAAATCGGAAAAATAAAACGGGGCTTTCCTCTTAACATCGTTGATCAATCCACCGAATAGTCTTCCGGTTCTCGAAAGACCGGACTCCTCCCTCAGCTTCTGGTCGTCAGCCTCCTCGTCGAAGTCTTCCTTAGGCTTTTCCTCCTTCGGTCTTTTCCTGACTTCCTAAGAACGTCGAAATTAAGCCGCGATTGAGAAGAATATTTTTTAAATATTATTAAAATTGCATACACACAAAATTTTTAAAAAATTTAAATAAAAATTCGGTATTAATTTTAATGACTTGAATTCTACGGATGCTATGAATAATGTAATAAAAAGAATATTTGATGACACTTGTTGCGTCTCTCGTCAGCGATTGTTGTCGTCGACTTTTTTAAAGATTTATCGAAAACTAAACTTGCTTGGAAAAATGTATATATCGTCTCTTATTTTTATTTGAGATTATTTCTTCTCACCTGTGATGGTATAGCTGCTGGCGGTTCTATTCGGATTGCCGGATCCCATTCACCGGGTGGTAAAACCGTCACGGCATCCAGGAACTCGTCGATGCCAGCTAAAAGATGATTTCTGTTTTTCGCTTTGTAAGCCACGTCGTGGAAGACTTCGTCGGACATCAAGGTCGCCATAGCCCGACCGATCTCGTGGAAACCCGAAATCCCTCCCTGAGATCGATTTATGCAACGTGAAATAAGCGAATATTATAATTACATTTATTATCCGTTGTTAGATATATTTTATTAAAAATTTAATTTATTATATATAAATAATACAATATTAATACTAATTTGTGCGCGCATTGTTTAATTTACTTTCGATTTTTGCTTTAGTACATTTTCTCCACATATGAATGTACATATTTTATACGTCATTAATGATGTAAATTACGGAATGTTATTTCATGAATGGACTTAATTTCTTATACATCAATAGCAAATAATTAAAAAGAATTAATTCAAGAACAAACATGCACATATGTCCGTGATTGACACGAGGAATCACACATATGGAGAACAAAGTCATCGCATGTTAAGATGTAATAAACTCGCGATCGCGTTTAAATCGCATTTGCGCCGAAAATAACATTACTTTGCATATAGGTCTCGAGAGACAATAGTCAGCAAACGCAATCAGCATGCATGGTTGCTTTGTTGGAGATTTAATTGCCGCGGTGTAGTTAGTAGAAGCGATCCTTTCGGCGAGCCTTAAATTGACACGTGCGAATATATATGTAAACGCGAAGAGAGAAGACCTTGCACAAGTGGTTAGATGATTAGCGGCGGTTCGGACTAGTTCTTCTCTTTTTTTAGACCTCATCCATTCGAGGTCGACTGCAGAAAATGACTGTATGTGATGAACAGTTGATATTAACTATAATAACCGAGTAGATATATTGATTCGTGCAGCTAATTGACGATTCAGAAACATGTCAAGGAATTCATTAATGGCTACTGTCGCACTTGTATGTACGGCAATTTTATTTGATTTAATCACAGTAGAGCGATTTATTTGCGATGCGCAAACCCGTTGACACGCTACATTGACGTTTTGATATTTTATATCTCGTAAATACTTCCATCCTTAGCACGTGAACTGTGTTTTATTTCTCCCGAATATATGATCCACGTATAGGGATCGCATTTCAAATATTTAGGATTCCGAAATAAATTGTTCAACTTTTTGAAAGTGATTGTCGGAAAAAGCAATAACAACTTTTAATTATTTTATTCTATTTTATTTATATATTGTTTATTTTGTTTAACTATTTTATATATTTTATTTTATTTATTTTCTTCATCATAGAATGCTATTTTTTCTTACAATCTTCATATAGAATAGAAAGTTTATAATAAATCGCAATTTGATTTTATTTTTGAATAAATATATAATAATTTTATATGAAAAGATAGAAAATTTATAATAATTGATATGCTTATTGCTTAATTAATAATTACGATTAACTAATAATTGAGATTTTCAGTCAGAGAGGATAAACTTGAAAATTCATAGCTTTAGCTGGAATATTGCAGAGTGCGAATTAAACGACTTTTGTGTCTTCGCAAATATGCGCGACGCAAAATTTAATTAAAATGAAATATCTACCGAGCGCGATAAATTTGCATTTTATCGCAACAATTCTTGCACACGAGTCTCAACGAAATGTGGTATAGCTGAGGTAGATCGCGATCGTATTTCATTTTTTTACGATTTTGCACGCATGGTTTGTAATCCCGATAGCGTTCTTACCAGGGGTCCTAGAAGAACGAAGATGAATCTCGTCGGGACAGGAACCTCTGTCAGGTCACCCATTATTCCAGCCTGGCTTAATCGGATGAATGCGGACAAAGTCTTGTCGAGGAAATCGACCTCACCCACGAGTATGTTGCTTGTCTCGGCGCCAGGTGGTATCTTTCTCATAAAGTGCGTATTACCCTGAGAAATGAGAAAATAAAGTTTAAGTTTCTCGAAAATAAAGTTCAGTTCTGCTCGTGTTAACGAAGGGCCGACTTTAATATGCATTAAAGGGAAGAACCTCCGATAAAATATTCTTCGAAAAAAGAGGAACGGACCTGCTGGCAAAATTGGAAAATCATTTCTCCCTCATACGATATATCGTTAGGTAAATTTTGGAGAAATAAATACAATAATTAGCCAATTGTCGCCAATAATCGCATTTTGATATTTACAAAATTAAATTGTATATATATTGCACAGTTATTATAATTCAAAGCGATCTGATAATTATAATTGAATTAAAGCCCACGGATATTTATTATATTGCCAGGCATTTACAGCGATAGATTGCATATATAATTATTTAATATCCAAATATATCTACAAACCTTGTGATTAGCATCTCCGTTCTCCAATGCTGAAGAACTGTGATTCCTGCTGATGGACACGCTGCTGGGACTTCGGTCCATACCGTTGCTGCCTGGTTCTTGGCCTGCAAGAGATCTAGCTTACTGCCTACTGCATTTTTATTACGCGAATAATAATTGAGTCGGTACAACCCTCTTGTCAGTAGCGTGCGATGGAGAATGAATTCAAGGCTTTCACCCCTTCGTGCGTCAATAATTTTCGCGCCCGCGAACCGAAATTAGAATTTCCTGCCGTTCAAATTTCTCTTAGCTGTTTCGTTTCGCAATTAAAACGCTTCGCTTTAAGACACCCTCCTATAAAATCGAATGTAGGCATGTCTTTATTTCGTTGTAAAATTTTATATTTCGCGCGAAATTCATGAAATTCGTTCGCACATTTGCGAGATAATAAAAGGTCAGAGAGCGAAAATTGTTTAAAATATTTATAAGCGCGGTTATAATTGCAAGATCTTTTTTATTTCCACAGAATCAACGTAAGTTTTAAAGAGAGGACGGATCTCTGATTTTAAATTAAAACGATAATAATTAAAGTTACAAAAAATACTGAAATATGTATGTCAATTACAACATTTTAATTATTTTAGAGATCAAAGTTTCTTTCTAAATAAACAACATGGTTTATGTAAAGTCCCTCGTTTTCAGCAAATCGTGAAATAAAATTTGCATTTTGTTAAATGATACAAGATAAAATATTCATTTGAAGTTTTTTAACGAATATGAGAAAACGTTATATCGATTTTCAATCGCGAAATATTAAGTTTTATGCCTGCATAATCGCGAATAATCAATTATCTGATATATAGTGTTTCATTTTACTCGTACTAACCCGATATTACAACTTCATATTACCTTTGTGTTTTGTAAATTAAATTTGCGCTATCTTGCGAAACACGAATTATCTCGAATTGTAACTAAATTCTCATCGAATGAAAGATTAAATCTGTCATATATAATAAAGTATTTGTTTAAATCATTTGATAGAAATCAAGAATAATCGAAAATGAGATAGCTCTAATTAGAAAAAAATTTAAGATTAAATCGCACCGATATTATGCGATTTTATGATTATGTAATCACGAAAGATAACCAGTCACATAAATTTATTTGTAATCAAGTTTGAATTTTGTATTTTACCGGTACGTGAAATTGATATAACGACCGATTTGATTAAATAAACTTTAATAAACTTGGATCGAAGTCTACGGTACTTAAACTAGTACTCGACCTTTGTGAATCAAGAACGGTTGCTCGTAACCCTTTGCAAGGATATTCTATATTCCCGTTTCTCTGACAGTTTCATCACAGAAAAGAGATAGTACAAACTCTATTTAAATATTCAAATATCTGCCTTTCATTAATCTTAATAATACCCGTTCAAACATTCTTGATAGCTCCTCTCGCTTTTTAACGCACGAAGTCAAGAGATTTGATTTCTTTTCGTTTTTCAATACTCTTATCAGTACAAAAATATATAAATACTTATATTTGCCGTATATTTATACATTTATCTAAAATGGTGATTTGTGATAAGCAATATATATGTACGTATTTAATTTCCAGATTCCAGATTATCTTCGATTATTTGTAATAAATAATTTATCCTAATTAACAACAGAAATATTACAAAATAAAATCACCGGAAATTGTCTTTCATTTTTCCCTCGAATCTGCTTAGTTTTCCAAAATAGGAAGAGAGATAACGAACGTCTCGCGCGTTTCGCGAATCGACCATCATTATTCGCGATAAAGACCTGCGCCGCGATAGAAATAATTTGTCGCATGCGAAACAAACTTCTCGTTAAGCCTTCCGCGTTCCGATTAACAGGCTGTTCCGATTTAACAATGATTTCTCATTTGTCGCGTGCACACAAACAGCGCGGATAATTGCTACTGCAAGTTCAATCTACGTGTGTGTAAATGTGGAATTTCACTACGGATCATGTAGGCTTCGCGAGCGAAAGTGTGAGATATCTGTGTGTGAATGTGCGTGTCCGTGTGTGAGTGTGTCAAAGTAATGTGTGTAGTGTGAGTAGTAAAAGCGAGCACAGAAAAGCGGTTTACCGGGAATGCCGGGTATCGCAAGGAAGCGGCTACCAACATTCAGCGCTGCTCCACTGCCATGACTTGTTGCGCCGGCGATCGCCGGAGCGGAGTTCGATTCCTCCACTAAAAATGAGCATGAAACACAACACCAGGATTGTCTTTTATTTACAAAGGAAGGTGCGAGTATAGGCTGCAGAAAGAATGATCCGCTGTCCTTGTAATTCGCGATCGAGGAGTCCTTCAAATATAGCAATGTATATATCTCTGACATGATAAACGCGATCTTTTATTGCAATCACCCGGGAAAATCATTTTTTGTATGTAACGATATAAAATTATATAGGAATATAGAAAATTATACATATCATCGCAAAATTGTATATGAAATATGTCCATACATAAGTAGATAAAAGTGCTGTTTATGTATAATTATATAAATTTTTATATATATAATAAATAAGTATTTCTTCATATAAATCTATATAAATTTATATAATTATGTATAAAAGTAGACATATTTTATATATAATTTTACAATTATATGTATAAATTGTACAATTATTTATATATAATTATATGTAAAAAATTTTTTCCCGGATATCTGGCATAAATTTATATATTTTTTATATATATATATATATATATATATATATACAATTTACTTTGACGAAAATAGCTGGACATAATCGAAATTAGAAGCAACTGTCTCTATCATTGCACCACTTTCAATTTTAATCTTGGAATTTGGAGAAAGAATTGTCGCGTGAGAATAAACAGTTTAGTTTTGGAATACACGTTTCGTGCTGATTCGTATCGTGGAAAGAGAGAAGAAATTATACATGCAACTGTTTCTATTTTTATGTAAAAAATTGCGCGCGAAACGTCAAGGACAAGCAAGACGACGATAAATTAAACGACGTCGAGAAAATTTCTCGAACGATTTCACCGCAACGTTCTGTCGCGTTTTTGATGCTTTAATACTTCGCTAAATTTCCATATATTTGTCAGCACATTTCGCGACGATCGTAAAATTCAAATAAGGGAAGTCTCCCAACTCTTTTAGGAGATACGTATATGAACGCTCCGTTAATTACTGAAGAAATTCTCCAAGATATTTTTGTGATGATTTTACATCGTTCACAATATTAAACGTTTTACAAAATATAATGTACTTTAAAATGATGACAGTAAAAAACAAATATATATTTATTTCTGCATGTTATGAAAATAATGAGTTAAGATAGTTAGTTAGGATATTGAGAAGATATTAATTACTCGATTATAACACTGAGAGTCATAAATGCACAATAAGTATAATAAATATATATAGTAGACAGAGAGATTATACATTGAATTACGTGCATTTAATACGATTACAACGAAAGATCCATGCCTCGTGATTCGGAATTACAAATGTTGATCTACGTTGGTCAACGAAGAAGAAACGTGCATGTTGATCAATGGATAATGAGACTGCGATGAGTTTCTTTAATAACGTCACGTTCGCTCGGAAATCCATAAATCGCGAACGTGTTGAAATGTCCAAGTCCGTCTTCTCATCGCACATTTAATGCGGCTTATTTGTATTAATATAGGGATACGATAATTAGACAGCCGCATTTAATGTTAAATGCGGTGTGAGAATACGGATTATACGCCCAAACCCGTAATTCACTTCTCTCTCGTGGTGTTGGCAAACCGCACGAGATTGATAACCACGATCAACTTCGTTTCCGATGCGAGTGCCGGGAATACCAGGACATATCGAGTACAAGAGAGACATAGGGGAGTTCGCAGTAGTTCCGACCGTAATAGGTCAGACGCAACACCGTCTGCTGCGGATAATTAAATCTTGCGCTCTCTCATCAATAAGGACACGTGTTTAGAAAAAAAAAAAAACAGCATTCTCTCGCGAATCAGTGTCATAATTACCGAAAAATAATAATTACCGAATTCTCGTGTACGACATATATATTATTTTGCAGACATGTATATATGATTTTTATGAGATCAAAGTTGTGTCCTTATAGTTGAAATTCTTGTGCATTTTACAGAGTGAACAATCACAATTCCATCGAGACAGCTAGATAGTATATATTATATATAATAGGAGGAATATATTATATATAATAGGAATAAGTTCGCCGCGCGTCGATCACGAACTTACGTAGTAGTGAGACGATAGAGAAGAGAGACTTTAGAATAAATAATGGAAGATATAAGTGAGAGAGTAGAATATTTTTTGGTGCAGATTCGTGTAGAATAAACCACCTAGCAAGCTAACCTTTTAGCGGACACATCGCGAACCACGTCGTGAATCCCACCACGTGGGGTATGCCAAATTCGTCTGACAAAAGAAAAGAAACGCTGGTAAGTTATAAATTTTCGACCGGCTTTTGAGCTCCGGAGAACACAAGAGGATGACACAAGTGAGGGACGATGAAGTAGGCTCGACGATGCCCAAGTACTTTACATTGATAATTATTTAAACAAGACAATCACCAAGAAACATCAGGCAGTTGGGAAATGACCATGATGGTTTTTTGTCAAATTCAACGCGTTGCGCGACGGATCCAACGACGATCGAGATTGCCTTGATCCTCGCTTGATCTCTCACCACGCACTATGATACACAATCACATGGTACTAAGTTATAGCTAGAACGTATCGTTTGCCTCCCAAATTCTAAGATTTCGTTCAAGAAAGTCATATACTCGTTCTCATTAAAAAGCCAGAAGAATACTCTTTCTATTCGATTTTTGTAAGTTACTTCCCCTAATAGCACAACATACCCAAAAGATATTTAGAGGATATCCAGAGGATATTTGAACATCCTCAGGATGTGTGCTATTAGGGATCAAAATTCGCCGAAATTACGGAATTCTGTAGAGTCTTGCATGACTTTCGGCGAGAGTAATTATAAACAAAGCGATATTGAAAATAATTTGCGAGGCGATCGATACACGGATATGTTTGTAGTTGTTAGTGGGTTGTTCCGGTCAGGTGTGGTTAGAAAAGCCACGAAAGCACCGCGATTGGCATCCAAGGCTGCTTAGCGGATGAACTGGCCTAAGTTGTACCTGGAACCAGAAGGTACGGCCCTTTGAGGTCTTTCGCCTCTTTCGACAACGGCGCTGTGTTCGAGTTCGGGCAGCTGCTGCTACGGGCAACGGAGGAGAGTACATAGGCCTCTTTCGGATCGCGACGATCCTGCAAATCTGACGTCAACAAGGCATGCATACCACATGAACAGTCGCAATCTGAAAATGTCGATTGTGTCGTACGTGTTTTAGCAAAGTTTTAGCACGCCCTGGGACCGGAGAACCCGGACTCTTTCGTCTCGCCACCGCCACCCGGGGTGGTCTTCAACGAAAAAATGCAGGTAAAAAGAAAAAGAAAATCTGAATTAGAAATTAAGAAAATTTAATTAAATTAAAATAAATTTTATTAGAACGAGGACTATACAGGACTCTCTTAATGACCCCGGTTTAAAATTCAGAAAATTAAAATAATTCGTAAAAGAAAAATTAGAGATAGAAAAATGCAGAAAAATTAAACTAATTTTAATTGTTTTTGTAACGATGATATTAGAAACTTCATTCACAAATGTAGAAATTATTCTAATTTTATTATTAAATATTATTTCAGGGTCATTACGAGTTGTCACACAAAAATATTAAATTAAATTAAATAGGCTGGTCTAGATAATAAAAATTATGATAGGATATAGGAAAAAAGCATAATTATTTTATTCAAAAGCTAATATGTTTAACTATAACAGTAAAAAAAGCAAAACGAAATATAATATTTACAGGTAATTATAAAAATAACAAAAAAATGAAATATTATATAAACTTAAAAGAAATAAAAAGCGCACGCATTGTGAGTGAAATATTAAGTAGACAAATATAGCAAACCGAATCTGAAAGTGCTAATTAGACGCAGAGACAATCTCTGTTTCTTGAGTGTCCACGTGTGCTTCATATATTAAAAAAGTATTATGTACATTATATGTATAAGAGTTATTTATATCCGGTGATCTGTCAAAAAAAACAAAAACATTACTGACACCGGACCAAGGTATGAAACTTACTTTTTGAAGAGGAATGATTGCGTCCTATCTCAGCTAACGATCTTATGATCGGTAACTTCGACATGTTATTGTCTTTACGTCTTTCGTGCTGGTGCCGATGTCTCACGAGAAGAGCTTCTTTCACCTGAAACGATATTTATATGCCCGATCGATCAGGTTAGCGACACATGTGTGTCCGACATCTTAAGTATCTATTCAAATTGGAAATAACACGAGTTCCGAATGTGGAATCTCGAACTTTACATTTTTTAGATGCCACAAAATTCCTCGAATTTTTCATAAGAATGACAGAGTATCCAATGACGCGTTACTATATTTGGAACGAATAATTTAGCTTCCAATAGACATGTAAATTTCACAAATGACCCTTATATGCATGTGTCATATCAGTGGAAAAATCGGATCGACAAGTATATTCATTTATAGCTATCTAAAAAGAGATATCGGAGATTTTCTATTTTAATGATAGATATGACATTTCTTCTTATGTGCTCTTTGTCACATTTTTACCTTTTCTCGCAACTCAAGCGGCAGTACTCCTTTATTAATCATGTTATCGAGAACCAGATCAGCTATCTGCTCCAAACTGGCCGCTTCCATATCGAGCATGACGGTTCCATTTAAAAGGAGACTCCTCAACTCGAAGAGTGAGTGCAGCGATAATGTGGCAACGTGAGGTTTGCTCCACCTATTTCCACCTTCCTCGACATCCTCCTCAAACTTGATCCATCTGTGAATAACATATAACATATACGAAAATAAAAATTTTCTTTAATCATTAAAATTTTTTTTTTAATCATTCAAAAAATTATTAATATTTTTCTTTCGAATCGCTCACGTTTAAAAGCTTGAAAATATTTTGCGTATATAAATAAAATGATACATAAAATAAAATTGAATATTATTTCCTGGTGATGTAAGAGAGAAATACCGTCAAGAGAGAGAGAGAGAGAAATACTAGAATCTATGATCATTTCAGTGCATAACATCGTAAACACATTTCTACATTTCAAAGGATTAAATCGATGGGAAGTGGAGTGGCAATTCGAACTTTACCTCGCCGTCTCCTTCCATTCCATCTCATCGCCATCCTTGACTAGCTCCTCCATCTCCGAGAAGAGCGGATGCGATTCGTGCGCATCGTCGCCGACTTCCTCGCCGAGGATAAACTGTACTCTCTGGGCTGGTGGAGTGACTAAAATAATCATCCATAATGAGTCGTGGGTTTCGAAGTTTGCAGAGAAAATATATATATATAATATGTATATGTAGATATATATATGCACGTGAAAATACATATATGTATTTACAATATTTTATACAAAGGACAGACATTTATCAGAATATATGTCAAGTATGACGAGAGATCTCAATAAGAAAGATGTGATGAGAAACTTGTTTAAAAAAACATCACTTGCGAAAAATATTTGTCTAAAAATGCGATTAAAAATCTTTTTACGAATGCAGAAAATACATACAATAATATATTAATATATTATAACGGCAGACATTCTCTGTGTGGCTTATTTAATCTCCCTATCTATTTACATAACACTATCTATCACAAATATAGAGATTGATCACAGTTAGAGATACAATTTACAAGAGCTCGCGCGTTAACCCAAAAATGAACAGCGAGTCATTTCGAATGGCTGTTTTTCGTCACGTGCAGAGCGATATGTGCAAGCAAGTAAATTATCGGTTCCATGAGAACATGCATCTCATTTTCCGCGCATCCCAGCGAATGCATGTAATATCTAGAAAGAAACATTCCGCAGCGTATATGTAAAAGAAAAAAAAATATAGACCTTGTTCAGAGTGAGATATGTCAGAGACAAGACTGAAGTTTCATGTCGAAAAAGTTATGAGAGAGCAGCGAGAGATGCGGCGAGATGAAGAAACAAAGTTCGGCGCTTCGATGCAAAAATATCCAACGATATATATAAACTCAGATATATAAAAATCAGAACGGAACACGTGTAACGTATAGGAGGAAAGGGAACTTGGAACACTTTTGAAATATCTTTTGAGCGAGCGCGAGCGCATCAAATTTGTGAGGATGAATAAAAAAAGTCGACGTTGATCGAACGACTGAACAAATGGTATAAAAATGGACGTACTATATGTATGATTATATATAGTATGTATACGCCATATGATAGATGACGCATGCACATTAGAAAGATTCGCTTTCAGAGAGAACACATAGAAAGCAGATAAAAAAAAAAAAAAAAGTAACACGAATCTTCCGATTCGAAACGATTGCGTAACCTATTGTGTGATGGTAAGTTGCCTTGAGAGAGTTAGGTAAAACACTATCTTAATATAAAATTAATGAGGGGAAAAGGCTACACACCCCATTAGCCTACCTGCCCCTTTTATTTATAACTATCGTTGATGTTACGAGAGAGGGCTTTGAGAAGTTAATCAACGTTTAAGCTAAAAATCCACTGCACTTTAATCGATTAAATATTATATAATTCAATCACTATTTTTTTTTTTTTTTCAATATTTTTTTTGTAATATATTATGTTTTTAAAATTTGCTCTGAAAATATCTTTACGTGACACCGTTTCCGTTGATTTATCGTACGTCAACTTGAAATAATGCTTTAAGCAAGAAAATGCAATTTCAATTACACCGACTTATTGTGCAGCAACTCTTTCACTCTTAATCAACAAATATTCGCACACAATGTTATAACATTCTAAAGACGCCCATTTATTATGCAATGTATTTACTCGTTTATTATCGCGCGAAATAATGCCTTCATCAATCGCGTTTAGATTACAAACGCGAGAATAGCGTTTTTACCCTCCTCTGAAAATTATACATGTAGTGTATCGTGCGTCAATAAATTTCGGGGGTACCGTTCGTATATCCTACAATGCCATCAATATTTATCGTATATAACTGCACTGTATATACACCCGAGAGGTGGAAGGGTCCCGAGGGACATTATATAGAGGCCCGGTGTGCATAATTTACATTTGACATGTGCGGAGTTCGCGAATGTGCGCTGCAACGGAGACATTTAAACGTAACTGCGCTCATGTCAACGGTGTGTTATGTATACGATACGATCGCACTTTTATATAACGATATAAAACGATGAATCGAGGCGATATAAAGAGCTATTTGTATCCGATAAAACGTGCGCCGGGCGTGACGCGATTATCGCGAGCATTTAACATCTCGTCGAAGCGCGTTAAGTTCGCAATCGATTGAGAAAAATATTATCTTCGCACGAGGAGATACGATCTCGGGGCGAAAGCCTCGATCGATCTCAGATCTGACATAACAGCGAGAACGTGAGGGGATTCGCGAACTTGCGGAGCTTCGGGAGCACGAATCGCTTCGTAGGATGCACGAACGGTTGTCCCGAATTAATTTGCATCACACAAAGGAATTTTCGTACTTATGCATAAGGGTGGCTTACATATCATCTCGCCGGCGGGGTCGCAGATGCTAGCGAGACGACCCCTACGCGCCATCAACAATTGTCCTGCAACGTCAATAGTGTGTTGCCGTGTCATTCGGACCAAACAAACGGTGATTCTCGAGAGACAAGTCATATGTTTCTCGCAATATCGACATGCAGTGTGAGAAATTAAAGTGAGGAATAATTTGACATTTTATGCAAAATTCTATAGATTTGTTCTATCTATCTATGAGAAAATTTCTTTTATTTTTTTTATATTTTAGTATGCGATATTATGTTGTTTTATGTATAACTCAGGGTGTAGAAATAAGTGCGAACAATTTTAGATGATTCTCTGTCGAAAATTAAGGGGGGTTTCTTATATAAATTTTTTTAATTTGTCCGAAATTTGAGGAAAAAAATTAAAATTTAGGAAAGGATGTAAGAATATATAAGAAACTCCCTTAATTTTCGACAAAGAATTATCTCCTTTTCGCACTTATTTAGATACACCCTGCATACATATGTACAGTCTTCCAATTTAATTACGACGTTGAGACATTTACGACGAGAAATATCTGGTTTATCTATCTTGTGACACATATGTTCAATGTTTACTAAAGATGAAATCCGCGTTTATAAAGAAGGGATTGAAAACATATTGATTACGTGTGCCTTCAAGGTTTATTCACGTCATTATTGATAGATCTCCAAGTCAATAGAAAAATACCGAAAGTAAATTTATCCAAGCTTAAGAAATTCAGTTGATTTCAATTTTGAAAATTATGTAACGTTAATGTTAATCGATTTAATTTACAGATGTAAAAATTAATACAGAATACGAAAAAATATAAAATATAAATCTATAAATAAAACACGTTTAACGCACACAGTTTTATTCGGATATGTTCACGTGTATTGCAAAACACATTACTTTTAATGTCACATAATGTCAGATTCTTTTGAAATCAAAATAATTTTTTGTTCTATTATATATTTGTTATTTTATAAAATACCATTTTTATTTACTATTTCTGCGATTTTGATTCTTTATTTTAATATTCCACACTTACTGACAATATTCAATATTTTATTATTATTGAGAGTGTATCGTAAGTAGTAAAGTGGTATCACGGCTGAGACTTGAACTTCTTTTGACGCAAACTTTGTCAGAAATTAAATGGCTAGTGCCATAGTGAGTTAGCTAAGAAATTGCAATTTCTGATCTGTATACTTTTCGTGAAAGCTCGTAAAAAACCACTTCTCGAAGAACATTGATTAAAATTTCTTTAATGCTGCGCGACAGTTTTTCTAATAGGTAGATTTTCAACAAAGCAAACTGATATCAAACATATAAATAATATTGTACAAATATGTCGCGTATATAATATCGAAAAAATGCCTCTATTAATATCCTTTTTAGTTAAAAATAACTATAATACATAAAGAAAGAGATAAAGAGAACAGCTATTATAACTTCTCAAATATCCAATTAATTTACGAAAGTTGCGGTTGATCTTTGAAAATATCTGATTACTCTTTATAGATATAATTAAAAGTTGCGTGTATTAAATGGAACTACAAATTAAAATTTCAGTTAGATATATTACCATATTTAAAGTTTTAGTTATAATAAAGTTTGTATTGCGATAGAAAGTGCAACATGTTTTCGCTCTATTTTTAGAAAACGCGGAGAATCGATTTTATCGCCTTGGAAACCTAAATACGGTTTTTACAAGAGCTTCTCTTATCTTTATCACGTTTCATTACATTTAAGCGAATAACTTGATTAATTATTTCCATTTTTTACATATTTATAAATGTACTTTGCAACATTTTGTCTCAATGATTTCATTAGAGTACTTTATTTCTAAGCGCACGCAAAAGTTTTCGATTAAAAGCTCTCGTTTTAATCACAGCTAAGTTATAGTACTTAAAGAACTTTCGATGAAGACACAGAAAACAATTAATACTTTTCCAATTAATTTCGAATAGGTATTGATAGATTTAATTTTATAAGGTGCTAATTTAATATATTACATAATAAATCTTTAATTATTATCTTTGATATCTATAAGAGCCAAATTTTATAAGATATATAATGCCCGATCAAATTTTCATTAAAATAAAAGATGGAAACAATAATAAAATTTATGTATTACGTTTATCTTTAAAATAATTCAAACTATATGTATTTATTCTTTATATAGTCATATTCGTGTCATTTTTACCAAAAAAAAAAAAAAAAAAAAATGCAGGAAAGTAGAATTTGCCGCAGCACCTCAATATCGGTTGGCCCTTTGTACTGGATTTCTCAGAAGTAGGGTGAATATCCGGATAAGTCTCGACAAGTGGTTGGCATGCTGCCACGCACGGTTTAGTAGCACCGTAAAAGCGCAACTCGTCACAAATGATGCGTTTGCGTCATGTATGACGTTTCAGCGTAGCGTTCCAAAAATTGCTTTCGAGTACAAAATATAGTAGCGCAAATTTTGCAGAACAATGCTATGCAATGAGGAGTCTCTTTGAAACGTGATTAAATTTGCGAGAGTGAAATATAAAGTAATATTGTCACACGCGAGATACAAAGCTATTCGCGTCTCTAGGAAATAAGGTGGGGATTTCTCGTTTCATTTTTAGAATGGTGCAATCTGCTTTTTATTGCTATATTTACGACCGCGTGCTTCGAAACAACAGAATCACGAAGGCAGAAGATACGCCTTGCATGGCTGTGAAAATAGCTATTGTATGAATTAAATATTGTTCAATTGATATATTTACGTTTACATAGAAACGTTTAATAATTAATTGTAATATTTAATAAATTACACGTTGGTTGAAAATATACAAATTCATTATTCTATCGCTTTATGTGAAATTTATACTCGTCAAAACTCGCTTCCGCATATTATGTAATCTATAAAATATTTCTAATATAAGAAAACAATTTAGAATTTGTATTCTAAATTGATTATTTTTTTAAATATCACTTGTGTGTATAAAGCAACAAATAGTTTTGTAATAATTATTTTAGTGTTGATATTTTGTGTAAAAAAATTAAAAATCTTGAAAAATTAATATTGAAACAAATAAACAAAGTAGTCTCATGTATATATTGAAAGTATATGTAAGCGTGTGTCATTCTTAGAGTACAAGGAACGCAAGCACGTGTCGATGCCAAATTTTCAACGCAAATAGTATCGTGAAATGAGTGCGATGCTATGTATAATTCTTAATAATAATTTTACTGTTTTATGCATTCATTATTATATTTATTTCTATACCAAAGTGATATTTTTGATAATTGCTCTATTTAGAAGTAACATATTTTTCCAAATATTATTTATAAACAAAAGGTAAGGATACTAATATATAATTGTTTCTAAATAAAATAAATAAAACGATTAACTCTAATCAACTGATTAACGCGAGAAATTATTTGGTGCTTTGTATAAAAATTTTTAATGCATGTTACGAAATCTCAATAATTTCAAAGGAGCATTGACACATATCAATTTATGATTATACTATTATCTTAAATCTGTTTTCGTGATATATGTATATTGTAATCTTAAGCACGCTTATAGATAAGACAATAAGTGATAACCATGTGACAGCTTAATATTCCAAGCAACTACAGTAACGATATCGTTAGACATTTCTTTTCGACATCTTTGTTATCTTGTTTGAAACCTCTGATCCAATTCATAAGTTTGCTTTATCGAACTAAAGTCTTCTCATGGAAAAAAACTGGACATAAACTTTATATGGAAGATTTAGATGCATTTTCTGGCTTCGACATCATAATATGAGAACGTTAACCGAGGACCCTTAATTTATCGCGAAGGAAAATAAACTTGCTCGATATACACAGTATCTCTTTATATGGAATACTATTTATGTTTAATGATATTTTTACAACTTAAATCTCTCCTGAGAATTCTTATAAGCGTAAGCTTATTCAAGAAGCTGGGGAATCATATAAATTAACATCTTGTGCGCGCGCACACCGTCGAGAGTTCTCCAACAATGCTTTATTAATAAACCGCGCAACTCGAAACGTTTCATTCTGTTGACAGGAATCTACTACGATGAAGTAGCGATGAATGATAGATTAACAATCGCGGGGAGAAGGACGGCTTATTTCATATTTCAGCGAACATTTTGAAACACGGCCGCGTCGTTCTCGACGTTAAAGGATGAGATATTGCGGATCGACGACGTTAATATGTGATCACCAAAAACGCTAGAAGTTCACCGCGAAATCACCCCAGTCCAGAGCGCGGATGATCGCAGCATCCATCATCTCTGCACGACACTTCGTTATTTCTTTCTTGAAGAGAAGTTCGGGCAGCAGTCGAGACGCGATACGCGACGTTACATCATTATCAGGAAAAGTCGCGCGCAACATCTGCGAGGAGGCAAGAAGGAACGAGGGAGAATCAACTTACTTGGTCTCTCGTTGTCGACATCGTCTTTACCGCAGGGGTACACTGCCGTTGTGAATGATGTGCTTATGGTGCCGGCGATGTCTCCTCTCCCCTGGCAAATGCACGCCCACGTACACCGTGTGCGCCCTGTGGACCTGGAAGCAGATGAAAGGGTTGCCTCGTCACGCAGGATCTCTCAACCCCGCTCGGAATCACCATAATTGTCTCATATGAGACATACGAAAATAATACCCGATAGAAAAATGCCCCAATATTGTATAATTACGTCACGGAAGGAAGGAATTTTGCACAGTGTTTGTCAATGGTTGGCAAATGCCATAACGCAGCGATTTTGTCAGAATACAATTTCTAAATCGTATTTGATTCTAAATGAGATAGAAAAATTATTTCAGAATAATTTGCAGTTTTTTTTAGGATAGAGATATTTAATCATTTTATATATTTCGTAAAATTTTTTAAAAATAAATATAAAACTCAATATATTTATCAATTATTAGGTAATTTTTTCAAATTTAATTCTGCAAATATTTTACCAAGATAATTCGCCATACATTACTGTTTTGCGGAAATACTGTTTAAAAATAAATTGTGCAAATATTTATATATATTTGCTCAAAGGTCTAAATTTTTACATGTATTTCAAATATATATACATAATTGCAGCATTTAAAATTTGTTATATATAATATATTTTTAAATATTTTCCTATATAGGTAGGAATTTATATAGGTCGACATCGTTTGATCACGTTTAATCTCGCTTACGACAATATGAGAAGAGCAGATTTACACGGATTTCTGATGAAAAGTTTTCCTCGTATCTTCCAGCAAACGAGAAGACTTTACACTTACACGGGTGTTCGCATAACACGGTTGCGTTATATTGGCACATTAAGATGACTCAGCTTTAGGTGAAAAGGTCAATAGGTCTGTGTGCCAATTTCGCGTGATAGGTAGACGAATGGTTGAACTTTATGTGAGAGAAATAACACATATTAATAGCACACTATTAACACTTTTACTGTTATTAATAACAGTGCAACCTTTTAGCATAATAGTGTACAGTGACTATCATCTTGACTATTAACTTGTGGCTGCTCTCATTAGCAAATTGTAATTTTCTACATGATATCACGTGAAAATAATGTCACGATAGAATGTAAAGGACGTAGATATTTACGTTATCTGTTTTATAAATGGACATTATATATATATAAATAAAAATAAACATTAAAGTTAAGATCATGGAATACTGTATCAAAGTACAGCATTAGGTCAGAACATTTGTATACTAAATATATATATAGCCTGACATTTTTACCGATCGAACATCTTTTAATAAACGCTTATTTCTCACATGCATTATTAATTATATTTTAATTTTTGAAATGCACAGTTTATGTGAAAATACAAAAGATATAACTCTGAAATATAAAATTTATAAAATAATATAAAAACTTTTTCTCATAAAGTACATATATTTATTTGTATAAGTCTTTAAAAAAGTATGTTAAAATATTATTATTTTTAGAATAATAATTCTTATTTTAGCTTAGGTTTCTTAGAAAAAATAAAAATTGAAAGAAATGTTTGCTCGGTAGCATTTCCAGAAGCTCTGTGAATTAGCCATGAAACGTCGTCTTTAAAGACGGGTCGACATTTTTCAATGAAGCTTCGAATTACGTTGAAGGAGATGAACACCTGACAAACGAGGCAATCAATTTGTTTTCGGTAAAGGGTTCAGCGTTTACGATGCAAGATCGTCACTACATATATGGCTCTCTGTACGTTTCATTGTCGATATAAGGTGACCTCGTCACATGTCCCTGTCCATCTATAGCCGGCGATGTTGTTTAACGAAGTAACGATTTTCGAAGCTCCTACACGTGCGAGGACCGTCATATGAGCAACACCGAAGCCAAATTCGCATCAGACTGACTTATTACGAGCACGTTATTGTGGTGTCAATTTGATGTTTCAGCAGAAGTCTCAGAAGACACCTCGTGAAAATTGTCATGAAAGACTTTTACATCAGCTTACTTTGCAGAGTAATAATCATAAGAACTATTAAAGCTCGCAACTTTCCCTCCTTCGCTAGTCAAATATTTTACTTTCATATCGTTTTCACAACAAATCGCATACATTTGACCATGACAAAATTAATCTAACTCGATCTCACCAAAAAATATTCACGACAATGGAAGATATATATTTATCAAACATCTCACGTATATATTCAGCTCAATCTAAAAATATGTAAATTCGATAGATCCAATATAACTTCGATATATCAACAAAATTATAATGCAGTTATAAAACGCCTTGTTTAGTAAATTGAAAATATATTTCTATTCCTAAATAAAATAGCGCGAATAAATATTTCGACCGATGTTTCATTAGCTCTGACAAAATGAATGAAACAGATAATAATCCTTAAGGTTCGCCAGTAATAATTAATAAAAATCTCTCCTCAAAGTTAAAAGTCGACCAAACTGGCAATTATTTATTATAAATAATTAGTTAAAATACAACGTTTTCGGCTGTCATTGCAGCTCTTTTCAAGTAAATCTATAAAAAGTTACATAAAAATAATTATAATTTTAATACATTTCATTGCAACAAATAATTATACATTCATATACAAAAATATGCTACATACCAAACGTAAATGCATAATAAATTAATACAGTAAATCAAATTCACTGCATACCACCGACAATATTCACCATTGTTTTGATGAACAATGTAGAACTGACAGAAGTAAGCAAGAAATAAACAGATGTTAACAGTTAGCAAGAATCTTAATCACTACGCGTTAAGAAAATCGAGACAATACTAATGTGTCTTTCGCAATCTAAAACCTCATAACAAAGTCAAATAAATAATTAAATAAAAATAGTAATTAGCTCTGTTAAATTAATAATTGTAAACAAAGAAGGGCTATAAGAGCTATATTAAACATAACAAAGTTGTCAGATGATATTAAAAAACTTCATTTAAACGGAACGAGAAATACATAAGAAGTGAACATTTATTCGCATTTAAACGAAATAAATAAATAAATAAATAGGTAAAAATAAAAATAATTTACGAATGATATGGTTAGATCGCTCTTATTGTAAATAAAGGACAAGGATAGAGAATCTATTGCTGTAAGAGCCAATATATAATGCTTAGCAAATTTGCCAAGATGAGGAACATTCTCAAATCGAGATTTATAAGAGTTCTCCTTCTTTCCTAACAAACTTCCTAAAATAAATATAGACGAGAAAAATATATCGGTCCGAAAAATAATTTAAATACCGTCAAGAACACGATCACAAATCCCACTAAAATGAACGAATTTCTTACCTTCATAATCCTTTTCCGTGTAAGACTGATGGGTGATCCGCGCGCCCGGGTCCTTCGGGGCCTCATCGTCACCTGTCCCGCCCGTGTGGGCTCCTCCGCTGCCGGCTCCCGGCTGCATCCACGGTCTGTGCAAATTAATTAAAAATCTTCAATTCAATTACTGTGCCAATGACGACTCTTTGTACGCATCCGCCGCGTTAATACATGCTTCTATTATTCATTAACACGCATTAATGAGTTTCCAATCATTAAGGCGGGACTGTTATCGAGCTCGTTCGCCTGTGACTTTGTTCTCTTTGCCGAAGCACGTTGCTCGCTGACGCGAAATTTTCTATGGAATGTGGATAAATAGTATATTGTGTATCAAGTGCGGAAAGTTGACAATTAGTCACGAGTGCGGGTTGGTCACCACCCCACACGAGTGAACAATTGTCAATCCGCACTTGATACACATACTATTTTGTATTGCAAGTGCAGGCAAAGTGGCTGTTTCGGCGCGTTTTCTGTGCGCGAGGCGGCCGATCGCACGCCGCCATCTTGCCGCGGCACGGTGGGAGAATAGCCGGTTTCAATACATTTCCTACGGCTTGAGCCGTATACAATGACTTTTAACGCGGCTCAGCCGTAGATAATGGCTTTGAAATCGACTTATTCACTCACCGTGTCGCCGCTAGATGGCGGCGGGGGAAATCGGCCGCTTTCGGCACAGAAAACATGCACCGAAAGTGCCACATTGCCTGCACGTATAATACAAAAATTTTAATAGTGAAATTTGACTGTGCTTTTGTATTATAATTTGACACAGAACCTTTCCGCTCGATTGATCGAACAAATTGGAAAAGTTGTCTATTTCGATGCTGGTGAAAGATGTCGATCAAATATATCACGGAGTAGTTTGTAGACGTCTATCCACGAAATATTCCGTGGGCGTCTGTCCGCAACCGTTCATAACTACTGCGCGACGCGAGTTAATAATAATTAAACTTCCTCAGCCCCAGGGGCACTTTGCTCGCAACCGCTTCCTTCTCACGTTTCTCTTTTATGCTATTAAGTTTCACACTATTTCTTTCACTTGTTTTTATATTGTGTTTACATCTTTAATCTTCGGTGTGACTTATTTGCTAAGTTTCATGTACGTGTAATTAAATATGATTTAATTTTGCATAACATGATTTAATTCTGCGTAATAAATTAATTTCGTGACTATAAATTCCCGAAATGCATTACCACATACATTTTCACATTGTAAATTCGCAACAAATATTTGTTCCAGTTTATAAATTAGTATCGTAGTTCCGAGACAGCTTTCACGCACATTTTGTTGTAGTCGCGAGAGATACATAAATTTCGATGTTCTCGTCGAGCTTTCTCTTGATTCTAACGAGAATAAATTTAGCGTATTCAGCAATAAGAGTAACTCAATTTTCAATTATGTAAATGATTTCACGATCGAACTACATTTCTTGGAAGAAAAAAATAATGTTTTTGAATAAATTAAAAAGAAATTGTACGTATTTTGAATATTTAACCAGATTTTTATTCATATTTTATTTTTTGTCCGTGCATGTAATAATGCAAAAATGTATATTAATATTAGCTGCATTTTATAAGTCTGGTATTTAAAAACAAAATATAATAGCATTTTGTTTATTATGGAAACTTATATTTAATTTAAATTTTATAGTTAATTAGAACGTGACATTATCTCTTTATCTATCATTGACGATGCTAATAGAGTTATTCTTTTATATTATTAAGATAACGATATATGTACATATAATAAATAGACTTAACTAATAACAATTGCAATTTGTATAAAAAATTAATGTGTCTAAATTTTTATTTAAATTTTCACATTTTTATATTAAAATTATAGTATTTATTTCGATTAAATATATTTAATGTTTATTCAAAGTTGCATGTCTTATCAATTATCACAGTTATTCAATCGGCATTATTTTTTATTGAATCGATATGACTACAAGTTATACAACTCTGTAGTAGAAGATATCATTTTGTTCTACGTATTATATATTCTATACCTGTTCTCGTATTACATAGGAAACGCAACAACTTACTCGCAATGCTGACTAAATTGCATAGAATCACATGCAATCGATCGTTGCAGTTCAATTATATGCGAAAATGAGAAATAGATTCAGTTAGATAGATTCAGAGAGTGAACGTGGGTTGATTACAAATAAGAAAAAATTACAATCATAGGAAAAATGAATGTGTGAGCACGAATAATTTAAACGTAACATTTCAACGAGAATTGGCTGCTTTACCTAATATGCATTGTCATAATAAGTGGGGAAAACGAAAGTGTGGTTTACCGGCCTACAATCTAAAGCAAGCTTTTTAATTAAATTATATTTTCTTCTCTCGTAATCATATTATTGTAACGCAGAGTTACATGAGTGCATATTAGCGATTATATATCATTAAATTGCACATTATCTCGGAGTAATAAATTTATGAAATTTAATTATGCGTACATTGGTTTTATATCACGATGAACTCAATGTAGAGAGAAAGCATTATTATTAAGAAATTCTAATACACTGTTGGTTTTTTAAATTCCAACATTACGATAAGGAATAATGATATTAACTGAATTGCAATTTTCAGAAATAGCAATATATATTTTTTAAACACTTGAAGTATAATTAATATAACTTATAAAATTAGCTTCTAAATGTATAAGTAAATCGCAATAGTATTAAACTTATCAAACAATTTCACTAATATTAGACGGAAACATTTCGATTGTTGAAATCTTAAATTATAAGTATGTGTTATATTCATATGTACATTTTTAATTCATATGCAACTTTTCACTTGAAGCAAATTCCTTCATTAAGCAACGATGAAAATATCGGTTATAAAAAATACAGTTATCTTTTTGATATAAAAATTATTATATTAATTAATATATCACAAATATAATTAAATAGCAGTAATAGTAATACACTTGATTGTTTCAATTTAAATGTTACAAGTTATTTAATTTGATCGACAATCATATTCACTTGATTCTAAGCTTCTGGAATATTACAAAAATTCCAAGCTTCTGGAATATTATAAAAATTTATTAAGATTGAATACTTTTGTCGTTCTTTCTCGGAAAAAAACGAATTTAATAATATGGTCGGCTATTATATCTTGGTTTTGTCTCTCGTAATCACCTTCTTCCTCTGAGACATTTACTAATTTCCTTCTGCGTCGACATCTTTAATCACGCTGTTCTCACGTTTATCAACGATTGTCAGAGCAGCTTTAATGTTAAGTAGGCGTCACGATGGAATGTATAAAAAATTAGAACGTGGGTATACAAGTTGTAAAATTAATTTTGATAAGAAAAAATAAAAAGTTAAATTGCGGATTAAAAATGTGTGCGCTTTTACTCCTCTTTTCAATCTTCTTTGTGCAATCAATATGCAATCAGTATGCAAAATGTTAGATTCCTTTTGTATTTCAAGCTCGTTACATGAGATCACGATTAAGTCGATCGATCGAAAGCTTTAGACAGACGGCGACTCTCATGAATAAACAATGTATCTCGCAAACAAAAGTTTGATATCATTATTATTGAGGATGTAAGTTTCTCCGTAACAGAAATAACCGTGTGCTATAGTAGACATAGTCTGTATATAAATTTACGTTCGCACATCGATCGTGTAGCACTGCCACGGTCGTCACGGTATTCTATCGGCATTCCGTTTCTGTCACGCTCATAGAAGGGATTCGATTATCATGCTAATCGCGATTTAATTCTGGGATACAAGCAGCTGTTGCACAGAACAGAGAGTTTCGCGCGTATCGGGCTTCTTTTTGACGTGACAAATTTCTTACAATCGCGCAAGAATCTGCAATTATGCGGGACAATGGCGGTAATGACAATGATGAAAAATTTAGTTGATGAATAAATGGCAGTAAATGGTAATGATTGAATTTTTCCCACTGCTTTTTGATGACACAAAAGACTATTTGTAAATAAAATTATCAAGATGAGAATATTTGTTGTGTGGATACAAAAAAAACGTAAGAGAGATATTTTAAAGTTTAATAACGAAATTTTTTCTTGTTACATTTTAATTAAAACACATTTTATTTACAAGTCTCTCACTCTCTCTTAATTTATATATGAAAATTTATATGTAAATTGATATGAAAAAAATTATTGATGAAATATATTGTTTTCCCTTCTCATCAAACTTTTTTTCTGAATTATTGAATTGTTTTAATTGTAACCATTGTTACACTTTACCAACAAGTCATACAATAGTCATTTACACGTGTTGGAAAAATGTAAAAATAATAAACATAAAGCAAGTTATCGATTTTAAAACATAAATTAAAATATAACGTACGACACTCAAGTAAATTATAATTATTTGTATCACTTCTCGAACGTAAAACATTAATATGTTAACACAATTATGAATAGATAATATTGAAATGATATATACGTAACAATGACAAATTGTGTCACGCATAGTAAAAGATTTTAATAAAATTTGTTAAAGTCTTATACCTTCAGATTGATAATGATAAATTGAAAATGATAATGATCACATGATATATACACATAAAAAAATAATTGATAATAATTAAGAAAGAATTATGCCAAATTTACTGAAACATAATGTGCTGCATGATACTTACTCTTGTCAGACAATGCGTCACGACATATAAAAAATATGGTTCACTATGATTATCCGCCTACACTGCGGATGTTAATTTTGACATGCGCGTTATAGCGACGGTTTTATGTCTTGTCCTAACAAAGACCAAGTTATATATATTAAGTAAAGATTATAATATATCATTTTCTCTCTTTATTGTTACTTATGCGCGTGTAAAACTCCTTGCTATACTTGTTTTTCATTTGATACTTGAGTTTCCTATTTTTAACTGTGAAGGCTTCTTTGTTTATCCGTTTATTCGATTGTGCTATTTCAACCATGTTTTCTTCAATAATATTTGCTTAAGAAATTCCACATAATATTCAATTATTAACGATATATACTGTAAACATTTTTCACACAATATTTGTTTAATAAATTTTCAATTAATAATAAAATAATATAAAATTTTTCAATAAGAATTATTTCAAATAAAA